TTCTCCGCCGAAGTCTCTGTTGCGCGCGTGACACGAGTAGCGAAACGCCGACATAAGGGCATTGTTAGGCGTCTCCGACAAACTGGGAACTCTCAGGCTCAGATGCCGGGATCAAATGCTGTTAGCGCGAACTATCGAACTACCTCGATACATACCCGCCGTCTTCTGCGTCAGTTAAGCGCATTACGTTACCCTATCTGGATTCCGACCGATCATTAAGCTGCGAATATAGGTATATGTGGCACAATCGATTCTGGAGGGACGTTCTTCCATCCCGCATAAAATTATTTGTTCTTTCATTGTTAATTATTTATTTGTAATTTATATCTATTAAGATCATCCTTTCTTTAGTCGATTCATAATTTGTGAGGAAATTCGGATTAAAAAATCTCGTTTGTAATTATTTTACATGTCTCATATAATTAAAAAGCACACACACATTTGAAGAAGTAAAATTTTTTTTTCCATTTCATCGTTATTTATCTGTAATTCACATATCTACTGATTGTAAGCTCGTTCTCTTTTTAATCGATTTTTAGTCGAAGCGCGCGCTTGTATTGTCTATTAATATTTTTTGACAGAAATCAGCTGATAACTGTCAAAAATTATTATAGTCGCGCAGATGAGGTATTATAACATATTATTTATAACGTATTATTTTCGTATATCTGAAGAAAGCGTTAACTTGCTAATTAATTTTTCATATAATAATATGTTATTAAAATAAAAATAATAATGTTTTAAATAATATGTTATAATTTTTTTAACTCGATTAATATTTTTGACAGGTATCAGCTGATTTCTGTCAAAATATTAATAGACAACACAAGAGCGATTAAAAAGCGACTAAAGAGAAAACGAGCTTACAATTAGTATAAATGTGAATTACAGATAACGAAAAACTAATTTTACTTCTTCAAATGTATATGCTTTTTAATTATCTGTCAAAAAATATTAATCGAGTTAAAACAAACTTTATATTATTTTTTTTGAAAATATAACATTCCTTTAATATAAAATCAAGAAGATTTTTAAGATAAAATACATATATCAGTATGTATTTGTAATGTGTGTGTATTTTGCAGATATAATTTAAGATACGCTGCATATAAAATTATAAATAGAATTTTATCTTGAAATTTGTGTGTGCCGCGAATTCTGGATCTATTTAAAGCCGGCCCCGGAGTGTTGTAGCTATAAATTCAATCTTCTTCGAGTTTCGCGAAAAAGTCTCTCCAAAGAGGAAGCATTAATATGTCGAGTTCAACCACCTTGATAGGTGCGCTAAAAGAGAGGACGATACACATTTGCGCGTGTGTAAATTGCTAATAATGAAAGTATAAGAGAGAGAGAGAGGCGTGCTTATCTCTCGTCGTCGGACCAGAACCGAAGCGAAGATAACAAGGCACCGATGAGGTGCGGAGGATCGAAGGATCCCGCCGGTATCTGCCGGTATCCAACGAGGGAGAGATCGCATCTCGGCGCGCGATGCCCGAAGCGGCAATTAAAACCGTTTGTCGTTTCATCGCCGAAGATAAATTCATAAGGGATGCGTATATGTGTGCATATGTGTGTGTGTGGGTGCGTGTGTGCGTTTATGTGTGTGCGTGCGTACCGCGAGCGATGATTTACATAACCGTACGCCCGGTATATATACTCTCTTAAGAATCACTATAAATATGCCGAGAGTGGTTTAATATGCGGTAGCCCTTTAATTTATAACAACTTATTAAATAAAGGCCCGGGGCCATTTACGCGCGACCGTGGAAGCTGCCGGGCCGCGTCGATTGGTCGCGATAAATAAACAAGAGGCTGAATCTCTCTCTCTCTCTCTCGTTTATCGAGTCATTTATTCGCGCTACTACCACCGTCTTCGTCTTCGTCCTCCAGTTGACCTTTCGATATCTCTTTGTACGTGCCAGGGATAATCTTCGATATTTGCGATGCGCTCTCTTTCTTTCTCTCTCCCGACGAGCGCATTGACGTCTAAACGTGAGAACGTACGGTTTATCTCGTTATCGACGACGACTCGATGCACAATTGCGCACTGCCTGCGGCTATAGAAAACTATTTAGTCTCTCTCCCTCCCCTGGGATTCTCCCTCTATTCGGGGCGCGTGGCTGCGTTGTTTAATAGGTGCATTCCGCTTCGCGGCACAGCGAAACGTGCGACCCGAGATTTATTCTTCGGCATCGCTCCCTTATATTTCTTCATCGGGAAAAATGTCAAGAACAACGTAGTGATTGGTAAAAATAATTGAAAAAATTAATTTGCAGTTAAATAATTTTCTCGAAAGAGTCGATAAAAGTATAATCAGCTGATCGGAATTTATTCTTCGGCATCGTTCATCCCTGCTTCGCAAACGAGATATATTTCTTCATCGGGAAAAAATGTTAAGAACAACGTGATAATCGGTGGAAATATGAGAGAGAGAATTTGATATTATAGCAAAACAATTTTTTTCGAAAACGTCAATAAAAGTATAATTAGCCGATCGGAATTTATTCTTCGGCATCGCTCCCTGCTTTGCGAATGAGATATTTTTTTATTAGGTAAAAAATGTCAAGAAAACTACGTAGTAATCGGTAGAAATAATAAACAAAGATTAATTTGCAATTAAGTATAATTTTCTCAAAAAATTGATATATAAAAGTTCAATCAGTTGATTAGAATTTATTCTTTGGCCCTGCTTCGCGGATAAATTTTTGCATCACAAAATTGTCGAAAAACAACGTAATGATCAGGGAAGATAAAACAGAGACATATAAAACTTATAATCAGCTGATTGAAAACAGCCGTCTGCGTGATTATCTCGGTGAGAAAAATTAATTTCGATCCCGTAGGCACACTCGGGTCGCAGTGATCCCCTTCGCCGATTAATTGGCTTCTGCTGCGCTTATTTCTCCCGTCGTGATGATCAGGTGTCTCGTCAACGAATAACAAAAACATGTCCCTTACAGCGAGCGAGTTACCGGGACAATCTTGAAAAAGATAATCGCATCTCTGTGGGATGTATACACACATATAAGGTCACCTATCATATCACCTATCTCTTGGTGAAGACAAAAAAAAAAAAAAGAGCGATGCGGAGAATCTCTCCCTCGCGCATGAAATTTTCATCTCCCGGCCAACTCGACCCGATGCTTTCGGGATATCCCGGGAATCTCTCGTGAAACACGTGCGACGAGCCGCACCTTACGAAGCGGCTCCCGATTCACCCTCGTGCTTCTGCACGCGTCGATCGCGTACATACACCCTCGAAGGGCGTGAACTCACGCCCACGCGCGGCAGGGAAGATAACTGTTGCGGGGTCACTCGACACGAGAGCAACGACGACGACGACGACGATGACTACGACGAAGTCGCGCACACAATCCACCGCCTCTGTCCACCCTCGCGCACCCCCCATTTTCCTCCCCCTCGCCGATGTCAATGTGTAACAACCCTTACCGACACGGATGGCTCCCTCTGTTGGGGTTGCACAATCGCGCCCTGATTGATAATTTATACGGTGCGTGCAGGTTATTTGATTATCCGCCTTCAGCTGGGCTGGCTCGGCTTGGCTCGCCCGCCTCCTTTTTGCGCTTATCTGCTCTCGTTCTGTGTTTTTTCGGCGTCGCGGTTTTCTCTCCGGTTTTGTGCCCTCGCATTCTTATCGCGCTCCCGATCGTCAATGCGTCATTTTTCAATGTACCTGAGGATTCGCGACACATTGTACTGTGACATTTTTTTATGACAGTTGCTGGGCAACGAACATTTTTTCTCGTTATATTTATATTACATTGATATTTTATATATTATATATATATATAGTATATATTATATAGTATATATATATTATATATATATTTATATATATATATATTTATATTATATTATATTTTATTATTATATTTCAGGAAGTTTCTGAATACAAAAGAATTTTGTTTCAAATGGAAAATTCTATATATAATTTTAATTAAAATTGCTTGTACCTGGATACCCGTTTATTGACAGAAGGGTTAAAGATCGTAAGACAAATTGAACGACATATATTAAAACCGATAAGAGAATTTCGATGTCATTTATACTTGCAATATTGTAAATATCAAACTGGAGTTTCCACATAACAATATCGTGCGCTGAAAAAAAATTTAACTTAACTAAACCCTTCAACTAAATATCATTTTATTAATTGAACATATAAATACTAATATGTGTTCAGTTAACAAAATAGTAAGTTTAATAGTAAGTAATAGTTAGTTAAAAGGTTTAGTCTCAAGTTAACAAATTTTTTTTCAGGGTGCGATAACGACGTTTCTCTCGAATATTTATGTTAAATATTAAATAACGAATAATTACAAATCGGAGAAAATGCAGGATGACAAAGTGTTTGATTCACCGCGGCCGGATTAAATCACGTCTCTCTCTCTCTCTCTCTCTCTGTACAGGATGTCGGGGTGTCCGTGTTGTTGTTTGAGTACGCGCCGGGTGCAAGGGGGTAAATACGGACAATTACATATTTTCCCTCCTATGTGATCCTGAGATCCCCAGCTCGAGAATCGCGACGCAGTATTATATACGCGACGAGGCGCTCTCCTTCATAGGGTGGTTACGCAATCGGGGGTTGACATGCGGGCGAAGAGAGTGACTGTGCTGTGACAGAATCGTCGACAGGGGGACGTGCGGTGCGTTGATGACATAATTGGTATCATTCGGGGGAGTCTTCTTTTGACCCACCGCGCGTGCAGTCCCCTATTACAATTATGCACGTCTCGTTCTATGTGGTTACATATTTTTCATCGAACCGTGCTTTTTCTTCTATTCGCGAACCAAGGGCAGAAACAAGCCGATACCGATCGAAAAAGAGAGTTGCGAAGTGATTAAAATCGTTCCGCTGTTCTCTTTCAATTTTGCCGCACGTGTAAATCGATAAAATAGATTTTGTAAAAATATAAGCGCATTTCTTGAAAAGACATTTTATATTTTTGATATATTATATATTTCAAAATATCTCATACCTTTACTTGATATTCGTTCTCTTCTTCTGCTGCTCGCTCACCTTCCTCGCCGTGCTTGAGTTCTTGAGTCCTTTTGTCTTCTTAATGTTGGAGGAAGTTACTTCCGGTTTCTCGGCACTGATCGATCCTATTGCAAAACGATTGCTCCGTTTCATTTCAAGACGATTGCTCGGGATTTCGTCGTCTTTCGTCTTCTCCAGATCATTCGAGTTATTTGTAGTCGCTGCTTGAAACTTTGAGTTAGCATCTTCGTTGCTCTCAGGATGCGACGCGACAGGTTCTTTCGTTCTCAGACGTTTCCATGTTCTTATGGGTAACCTGGAGAAGAATCTCTTCTTCTCCTTTTCTGTTCCTGTAGCCGACGAAGCACTTGTCATCCTCAAACTGAATGTTTTCTCGTCCTTCTCCTCGGCTGATGATCGCGAAACAGCCACGTTGGTCCGATCAATTTTATTATTTTCAGAATTTCGAGAATAAGGATTTTTATTATGATTATAATTTGCATTATCCTCTTCGTTCGTTGCATATATTCGTTCGTTGCTGTTTGAATCTGCGATGCGTTTAAACGTTTTTGCCGGCTGTGTTTTATTGGAAAGTTTAGTGATGTGAGATCGACGATCGTCGACGTTCGTTCGAGTGAATGTTGCATTCGTATTTTCTGTCCTTCTCTCAGAGGAGGATGGAGAATTAATGATTTTCTTTCCTTCGACCGCCGAACGTGGCCTCATATTTATCGAATCTGCAAAAGAATATATAATTTATATAAAAATAAATGAAAAAAATATATTTCTTTATTTTATCCCTTTTCACAGAGCAATAATAAATGTTTCATATACTGACTAAATATTGCATATGATTATACATATATTTAATGTACACACATACTTAGCAATATTGACAAAATTAATAGATAATCGTGCTTCTTTTTTATATGTGTACATATTTTTCAAGATAACGCGAAGATTTAATACATTTCTCTACTATATTGCAACTTATATTATAAGAATTAATTGAATAATTACACATATAAATGCAGCAGTTGTAAAATTATTGCGACTATAAAAAATGCGCGGGATAATAAAAAAGATGCGCATAATATTTTACTTAAAATTCGAGTATTGTCATTGAAGAGACATCTTTCGGCATCATCAAAAATTAATTCTAGGGAATTTACCAGCCCAAAGCCGACACATGATTGGTCTAGAAGAAATTAGTCTTGCAACTAACTCACTTTTTCCCGCGGAATTCAAATTTGACATTTGCCCAATGGGTGTCCTCGCCGATTGAATATGCGGAGAATTCGATTGTAAACTCTTGGGCTTCATTCCGTCATTCTTCGAAGTTCTTTCATATTTCACATTCCTAGCCGAAGTTTCCGGTGATATATTTTCTCGTCGTGTTTCTTCGGATTCTTCCCTGTCCGAATCGACGATGTTGTAAGACGTTTTTCGCTGTAAATCATCGCGATTCATCAACTTTGTCTGATCTGTCAATTCTTCGCAACTTGCTTCATTTTCCAATGAAACAGAATCCCAGAAATCCTTATCCTTTGAATATGCATGTCCAAATTCTGCAAAAAATAAACTTTATTAATGTTTTAAATTCATTAATTTTGATATATTTATTAGAGATTATTTTCTAAATTTTGAAACTTCAGAATTATTTAATTTCGTCTGTATATTTTTAATTCTCGAACAATATCGTGTGAGTTGTAAATTATACTTTAGAGTATTTTCTTCATAAATGTTAAAAACAATTTAGCAATCGTGATACAACGATTAAATGTTAATCGATCGCTTTACTTTGATTAATTCTACACTATTAATATCATTAAATTAGTCTCGATTACATATATCATAATTAATTAAAAATAAAAATAATATTAAATACAAATTATTGATTAATTTAGATTAGTTAATTAAGTTTTAAATCGATTAACGCCCAACACTGCTCAATTGCAATTTCGACTTTCTGAAGATTAAAAACCTACCTTCGCAATTGAAATTTTCATCTCTCCTCTTCGAAAGAATCTTCGTTCGTTTCTTTCGCTCATTCGAAAGCGATCGTCTCGATCGAATGTCTTCGTGGAAGTTCCTCTCGTCACTTTCGGTAGTCCATTGTCGCGAAGACGCATTTTCCCTTTGATTCGCGCGAATATTTCTCGCAGGTTCTCTTGCATAATTATACCGTGTATCTCGCGGAACTTTCTTTCGGTTAGAATATCCGATCAGACTTTGGGGATCGACGAATTGCGTGTAATAAGTGTCTTTGTATTCGATGGGAGGATCATTTTTTAACAGCTCAAAATCGTAGTCGTAAGGATTTTCTGCGCCCAAATCGTAATCCAGATCATTGATGTAATAATCGTAATCACGATTTATTCGTCGTGCTTTACTTTCGGTATGATGCCCGCTTCTATCCTGAGCCCGTATAATAAAAGAAATTTTAAAATAAATTAAATTAATATATAATTAATTTAATTAATTATAATCACAATTAATTATAATTAAAATTAATTTAATATATAATATAAAATATAATTAAAATATATAATAATTATTAAAATTCAAAATAATATAATATCAATTATTAATATCTAAACTTTGGGATGACTTTCAATTTTAGAATTTCTAACAATTTTTTATTTAAACATTTTAAAGCAATGATAAATACCCCTTTCCTCTTCTCTCGATCGCGAGATTCGCTTACTTGATTATCGTTCAGGATCGTAGCTGTCGTGCGAGGGAATCTTTTTGCTCTCTCGTTGGGCCATTCGGTGATTCTGCGAGTCGATCTGTAGGTCTCAGCTCCTCCACGACGACGATGGAACTCATTGTGTGAAAAATGCGCGGGATAAGTGGTTTCCGTGTCGCAGCTGACGTCTGTCACTTCCACGATTCTGCCTGGGTCGCCGTAATCGGAGGACCGGAAGATCGGCAGAATCGGCTCCGCGTCGTCCATGAAGAAGAATAACGAATTCTCGAGAAATGCAGCCATATTTTTACTAAGTACCTATGCGTACACATTTACAGGATAATCGGTCTGCAAAATGTCAATTAAATAAAAAAAATTTAATATCAATAATATATATATGTATAATCCCATACAGCACAACAAGATTGCAGCAGCATTGTGGCAACATTTTATTGCAATATGACAACATTGTATAAACATTGTGCAATGTTGCAGCAAAAATGCAATAAAATATATATGTATTATAATATTATTGTATACTATTGAATTATTGGAAATGTGCCAAATACATGATCGGACTAAATGTTCTGTATCTAATATTTTTTGCGTGAATTTTATTTTCATAATATTTCTGAAATGTTGCTGCAACATTGTTTAAACTATATTGCAAATTTATGCCTATATAATATTTCTGCAATATTACTATGCAATGTACAATATTGCAATGTTGTTGCAATATTATATACTGCAAACTTGTGTGCTATATGGGATAATAAATCTAATAATATTTATGATTTTTAGGATGATCTGCTATCTTGAAATTTTTATTAAAATATTTCTAATAATAGCTCGTTTATTATTCGAGTTATTAAAATATTTTACCTATTTTTTGCATGCTCTAAACGACGAAACGGTGAATATCATGGTGCCTCATCGCAGTGACAATAATCGTGCGTCTCTCGTTCGACATTATTATATTTTTGTATTTACCGACCAAGGCTCGAATTATTTCTGTCCATTATAAGGTGCTTCAATTCTTCGATGCTTCACGCGAAAGATTTTGATACTGACATTGTTCGACTTCGCCTGCTCACACCGCCATGAAAAATCAAATGACTGAAGCGATTCGAGATTCGAGATATTGTCGACGTCATATCGTATCGATATATCGATCGTATCGATAATAGTTTGAAACTGAAAATACTTTTTTATTAATTGATAATGCTGGTTTAATTTATATTTATTATATATAATTGCACAAATAATACATACAATTATTTAACTATACTTTCATACATATATTTTTCATTAAATTATTTAAATTTTATGTATGCATATGCATGAGATATGTTATTATTTTTATTTTTATACTATATTATACTAAATTTTTTTTAATAATTTGTACATATGTATATGTTTCAAAAATAATCAAATAAAATGTATCGACAGTATCTCAATTAATGAACGTAGTTCTAAAATGAATGCAGCGTTCAGCTATCAGGTTAGGTTCGTAGAATATGAATCCATATGATTCATATGTGTGAAACAACAGTTATTGTTTGAAAGAAAATTATAGTGGTATTATACGTTTATTTTAATTAATATCAAAAGAGAAAGAGAGATAGTGGAAGATTTTTATTCAGAGATAATATTATTTTGCTTAAATTATTTTAATAAACACTTTATTCAGAATGAGTTCTACAGGTAAACAATATAATTATGAATGTTATATGTCAAACTCTTGCATTTAGTAGTAACAAAAAGAAATGAATTAATAATTATTTAATATTGCAGTAAAGAAACAGTGTCCCTTTATGGAGAAATGTTATCGGAAAAATCCAATTCACTTCAGCGAAATGTCACATCCTCATTGTATGTTTGTTTCTTATATTTTATCTGTTTATATTTTTATATTTTTTAAATTATGTAATAATTATATTATATAATTTACTACATGTTATATATTAATTTATTTAATTATGTAATTTACAAATAAATAATTGTAACTTAACGTAAATTTCAGTGGAAAAATTACTGATAAATCAGCTTGAAGGTACGATAGAAATACCAGAGGTCCTTCATTTTGCATGTGATGATCGTTTACAATTGTTGGATCAATTGAAAGTATTGCAAATGGTGCTTAGAAAGGAAAGGAACAAAAACAGGGATAATGCCTTACCTACGAGTAGCTTGTCCTCTGAAACACAATCTCTGTCTACTGCTACATCCAATGTTAAAGAAGATTTGAAAGAAAAAGCAGAGCGACATAAGAAAGCAATGATGGAAAAAAGGCAAGATAAACTCAAACGGATGGATGCGGAAGCACAAGCACTCTCTAAAGCTTTAATTAGTGAAGAAGAGAGTTCAGAAGGTACCAAGGTTAGTGAAATAAAGAAGAGATATTTTGAATTTTAAATTTTCTGGAAGATAAATATAATAAATGTAAAATGTTTTTACAGGCAAAGAAAAGAAGTCTGGAACCATCCACAGCTGCTCCTTCTGTAACAAAAAAGATGAAACACATGAGTATAGATAGCAGCAATCATTCTAAAGATATCAGTCAGAATATCAGTGATTCCCAAAGTAGTTCTACAAGTAATGAACGAAATTCGAAAACAGGAACATCTATTATGGATATGTATCAAGCTTGCGATTCTGAAAAATCCAGAGAAGAAGTTAGGAAAAAAGCTATCCAGATGATGAGACGTTCAGGATATGCAGTATCTGTTGTGGAGCCAGGAGAGTTTGCATTAAAATATGCTCTTGCGGCACCTTATCACGTATTTTATACAAGAATCGAAAAATCTAAGGAAACATATGATCAACAATTCTCCATAACTTTTCCTGAGATCCTCGATAGAAGTCTTGGAGAAATTGTTAACAGTCTTCATCTAAATTTTATGGTAGATGTCGGATGGTTGTGTTTGCAGTATCTGTTAGCTGGCCAACGTACCGACATGATGATTTTATATGGTGATAGAGTAGATACTGAGAAATTAGGCCCCAACATTACCATGATACATGTACAGATGCCGAATCCATTTGGTTGTCATCATTCCAAAATCATGATTCTTCAATACAAAGATGATGGAATCAGGGTGGTAGTTTCCACTGCTAATTTATACTCTGATGACTGGGAGAATCGGACACAAGGGTATGTTAAATATTCTTATTAGATATTTCTTGTTGACGATATGATGTTTATAGATTAATATCTTTTCATTATATTCTCATCAGGTTATGGATTTCACCTCATCTACCTAAGCTTCCAGAATCCGCGAATCCCAGTGATGGAGAATCCCCGACAGGCTTTAAGAAAGATCTGGAGCAATATCTGAATAAATATAGACACCCGGCTTTAACACAGTGGATCTGGGCAATACGAAGGGCAGATTTCTCTACCGTGAACGTATTTTTTGTAGCCTCTGTTCCTGGAACCCACAAAGATACCGAGGCCGATTCTTGGGGACATAGGAAATTAGCGTACGTTCTGTCGCGTCACGCAACATTACCACCGGATGCTCCTCAGTGGCCCATAGTCGCGCAAAGTTCCAGCATAGGCAGCCTCGGTCCAAATCTCGGAAGCTGGTTGTCGAAGGATATAATACCGTGCATGTCAAGGGAGAGCACCAAGGGCCTAAAGAGTCATCCAAACTTTCAATTCATCTATCCGTCGACAGAAAATTACAAGCACAGCTTTGATTGTCGAAATTTGTCTTGCTGTTTGCCTTACAGCGCGAAAGTGCATTCCAAACAACAATGGATAGAATCATATTTGTGGTAAGCGTCAAACGCCTTATATGTTCCGTTCACTTTTACGCTCTAGAAGCGATCCATGTATTTATACAGAATGTTATGATTATCTAGCCAATGGAGAGCCAAGCGAACAGGACGAGACCGCGCAATGCCTCATATTAAATCTTATACGAGAATTTCGCCCGATTTGAAGAGCATTCCCTGGTTCGTGCTTACTAGTGCGAATCTGAGTAAAGCTGCGTGGGGAGTTCAACGAAGCAATCATTATATAATGAGCTATGAGGCCGGTGTTATATTTATACCAAAGTTTATCGTAAGTTTCATTATCGTCATTATTTCATTTACTCATTTTCTTTTTATTTATTGATTAATATGTGATTTAATTTAATAATTTAATTAATTAAATATATTTAATTAGTTAATTAAATATAAGTGTATTAAAAGAATATCAGCTGATTAATATTAATTTTAATGCTATTATTTTATTTGTGTTTGTATTTATAGACCGAGACAACGACATTTCCTATTGATGACGAAGAAGACCCAGCTGTTCCTGTGTTTCCGATTCCGTACGATTTGCCGTTACGTCGATACGATTCCAGCGACAGTCCTTTTGTGTGCGAGTTTCTCACTACTCAGGGTAGACCGTAATTTCTGAGATAAAAGCAATGCTTTTTTTTAGCTATTTCTCTTAAATCATGGAATATTTGTAAAAAAGAAGATTCTCACACAACACTCGTTAATGATTGCATACGAATTTGTATTTATTTATATATATTTTTACAATATTGTAGAATAATAATAAACATCTTTATTCTCTTCCTCAGCAAAACGTTTCCTTCATGAAAACATGTAGAAGTTATATGAACAAGTTTTTATGACTTTTAGGAATTTTTGACATATCTTGATTTCGATGCCTTATTTCCTCAAGTTAGTTATAATTTCGGATTATAGTTAATTAATGTTTTTACTGTCCTTAATTAATCATCACGAGAGGGAGGTCTGCGCACAAGGAAGAAGAAGATGCAAAAAGGCGACAGATTGTTCAATGAGAATCGTTGCGTGGTGTGAGAAATATATATATGATTCATAGAAATATGTGGAATTTTTATTAAACAATGTCAAGTTTTCCGCGATCAGACACGTAATAACAATGCATTATTAATAACGCAGGCGCATGATAAATAGATTCTGTTTTTTTAAAGTATTTTTATTAATGACTGGTGTTAATTGCTCTTACAAAGCAAGATCCACAAAGGAAATGGATATTTGACTTTTTACATTTTCTATTACACATGTGTATTTCGATATATGTATAGGCATTGTTCAGCTTTACACACCTTATTTCGGCATGCACGCTCCTTATCTTTTTGCCGTATTACATCGCATTTACATCTATCACTGATGAGCAGTATCTCGTCAGTGCATCTATGCAAGGAATGTAAACATGCTAAATCTCGCATTATCGATATTACCGAGTAATAATTTTGTTATGCCGAATTCTTTTCAAGATTATCTATTTTAAGTGGCATGACATTAATATTGACAAAGCTTTCGCTAACAAAAATCCGGTAACTTATTGAAACTAATATTTTTAGCAAGCAAAGCATTCCGTCAATTAATATAGACTTATTTAAAAGTTTAGACATTTGAAAACTTATTTTGCTAATTATTAAGAATGCGAACAATACTCTTTATTATATTATTACTAATAATATTTATTAATATTTTTTATTATATTTAATATTATATATATAATAATTTTTATTTAATGATATATATAATATATGTAATTTTTATTATTAATATTTTTTGAAATTTTATCAATTGTTTAAAATATTTAAAAGCTTTATGATTAATTACATTAAGATATATCAGCTATTTGTTTATATATCATCTTTGATAATTATTTTATAGTTATGTATAGCTTTTAATTTGCTTCTCGTACTGCTTGTCTTCGTTACTAAGCAATTTTCTCAATATAAAGGATGAGCGATGTTCAAAATAAAATCGATTTTAATAACATCGATTTTTTGAAAAAAAGTCGATTTTGAAAATCGATTTTATATGTAAAAATGGACGAGTCGATTAATCGAATAAAAAAATATAGGTGAATAGAGTTAAGCGGGGAACACACACGTTTCATAACGCATAAGCATAAGAAATTCGATTCGTTAAATTTCTTATGCATATGCGTTATGCACGTACATGGACCAATCAAATTTCTTATGCTTATGCGGTATGCGTTATGGAAAAGTGTGCTCCCCGCTTTATTATTTTATTATGTCTTTTTTCACTTCTCTTTCTTATTATTTAATACATTCCAGTTATACCCAAAAGGTTTTTCTACCTGAAAAATCATTGTTGTTATTATTAAGCCATTAATATATACATAAAACTATAATAAAATAATTTTTTTATTTAATTACTTAGGTAAATGAGTAACAATATTAGGAAGGATATAATTATTTCGATTTTGCCTCAAAATAATCAAAAATTGATTAATATTCCGACAAAAATATTGACGAAATATAATCAATTATTTGAATCAAAGTATCGATACCTGCGATTAATCGAAACACATCCCTACTCTCACGTTGGAACTCACAGGAGCGGATGACGTTAAAGTTCTATGAGCTCCAAACCTCCCACCAAGAGTCCGACTTCCGAGATGAATATTTGCGACGCAGATGCGGTTTTCAGGAAGGGGCATCGCAGCGTTCGCCGAGGACACCGATCACCAGTACACGAGATGTCATCGATAGGATAGAATCGCCACTGGATGTATTCTGATGAATTTCACTCCGCATACTTTTCGGAGCTTTAGTGCCGGCATTCGTTTTCGAAAGATCTTGCCAGAAGAACATTAGACACTCCCTCTCAAATCTACAGAATTCTTTAGAAATGTCGTAAGTATTGACCTAAGAAAAAAATCGGAAGTGACACATTCCATATACATGTATATATGTGGCGTGTGCGTATTATGCAGTGTGTATAAACCGGGATCTCCTGAATATTTTGAAAACTAAGCATTTTTAGAAAAAAATGTTTTGAATAAATCTTTATAGAGCTCGAAATAAGGCATTTAACGGTGACCTTAACTTTGTCCTAGGAGTCAAACTTAGAGATCATTTTAAGGTCAATTCAATTTTTTTAAATAGACCCTTACTTTTTATTGTATATTTTTGTAGTTTATCTCGTAAACTTTCCAAAACACTATAATAAAACATTTTTCATTAAGTACTTTTTGAGTTATAAAGATTTGAAGTTAACAATTTTTTGACACAAAATGTAAAATATCTTTTAAAATATGTAGTTTTCGATAATCATCCCTTAATACTTTTGTGCACGGAATATGAGACCAATTAATTGGTTTAAAGAAAATATATAGTTGCTTTTGAAAAAATATGTTGCAAATTACATACATTTTTTTTAAAGAAATTATGTGTTTTTTTTAAACCAATTGATCGCTCTTATTATTCCGCGCACAAAGGTATTAAGGTATAATTACAAAAACTGAATATTTTACGAGATATCTTATATTTTATGTCAAAAAATTGTTAACTTCAAACCTTTTTAACTCACAAAGTACTTAATAAAAAATGTTTTATTATAGTGTTTTGGAAAGCTTTCAAGATAAGCTACAAGAATATGTAATAAAAAATAGGGAGTTTCATTTAAAAAAATTAAGTTGACCTTGAAATGACCTCTAAACGCTTCCGTATATGCGCTCATCGCACTTATCTGGAACACGTAATCTTATCTTATACATAATCTTATCTTATGATTCATTTAATGTAAAATATAAAATTTGTGTTGATGAAGCAGTTTTATGCTATATACGTTCAATATAGTGAGAATATTCAAATGTAAATGGAAAAACTATATTAATGTATTCAGAACAACAATTTACAGATCGCAAGATACAATTGAAAAATAATTTTATTATAGAATATAATTGTTTTTAATTTTTATAGCAGAAATTAAATATTAAATAAATAATAAGAAAGCTGGGAGCATATTTTAAAAAATTCTTATTAATTATATTTAAACATTAAAAAAATCTAAATATACACAATACGCAGTTAGAAATACATAGAAAACATAAATAAAAATTATACAAAAACATTTTTATATATCTTATTGTTCGATGGTAATTACTTATGCACATAGCACGGATGAACGTATATGTACGAGAGTGTTTATAATTAATTTTCGAAAATAATATTTCGTAACATAACTTTATTACACATGGTTGAATTGGGAAAAAAGCTTTAAATTAAGTAAAACAACATTTTTAATTTAAAAAAAAATTAAAGGGTAGGGATTTAAAAAAAAATAAAAAATTTTTGTTTATATAACTTTAAAGTACTCTTCAAGCTATTAAAATTTGTTGTACGTTTTTTCTTTTTACCTCTTACAGTTTAGCAGATATTTGACCCTAAAGAAAAATACCGTTATTTTTTAAAGGGGTGTTTTACCCTTTAAAACTCAAAATGCGCACGTGTAAAAAAATACGTGTCTTTTAGATTTGTCTATTTAACAATATATTTGAAGGAGAATCAAATCGGTTCCGGACAGTTGTAACATGTTCCTTGGTTTGACTCCTAAGTCAAAGTTAAGATCACCATCAAATGTCTTATTTTGAGCCCTATAAGATTTATTGGGAACATTTTTTTTAAATGCTTAGTTTTCGAAATATTTAGGGGTTCCGGTTTTTATACCCTGTATAAAAGATAAACTTCCTGAGTAGACGCTAAATTTTCGGAAAGAATAAAGCGTCGTCTACAATAGCTTGGTGTAAGAAGTAAGAGTAGATGTAAGAGAGCTATTTTCGATTAAAAAGAGCTGGAGTAAGAGCGTAAGCAAAATAAATTTTTATTTTTTACGTCTACTCTTACTTACACCAAGCTAACTCCACTTATTGTCGACGACGCTTAACACAATAGACCCAAAACGTGTCGCGCTTGATAATATGATGGTAAATACGAAATTATTTGTAAATACGAAGTAGGTTTCAACGTAACATAAAATTATTCGTCTGTTTCATCTTGTCCAATTTTTATTAATTTTTTAAAAATTAGTTTGTTGCATGAGATAATTGACGCTGATCGTGCTTGAGCCGATTTTTACCCCCGTCTGAACAGAATAAATTAATCTTTGCACTCGTGATACTTTGCGTAAGATGTTTTATTTTGTCTGATTTTTATTAATTTCTTCAAATTAATTTATTGCACAAGATAATTGACAGTGATTATATTTGAGCCAATTTTCATCTCTTATTTAAACAGAATGAATCCAACTATTTACTTGTAATACTTTGCGTAAGATTTTGTAATAAATTTGAGACAAATTTCTTAAAAGAACGAAAATAATAAAATCTTTAAAATTTGCTATTATGTTATTTTATTATAATATTTATTATATTTCTGCGTGACAATTCGGATCCCTTTCCGTTCAAACGCAAAGACACGATTATCAGGATGTCAGGTATTAACCACGTCACAAGCCTCTTTCTATGGTCAATATTTGAATAGTGTTAATTTTGAGTTGTGTGTCAAAATGATAAAATTATTTTATTTTTATAATTTTTATCATCCTTCTCTCGATTTTATTAGTGAGGAAGAGAGTTCAGAAGGTACCAAGGTTAGTAAAATAATGAAAGGATATTTTGAATTTTAAATTCTCTGGAAGATAAATATAATAAATGTAAAATGTTTTTTACAGGCAAAGAAAAAAAATCTGGAATTATCCACAGCTGCTCCTGTTATAACAAAAAAGATGGAACACATGAGTATAGAGAGCAGCAATCATTCTAAAGATATCAGTCAGAATATCAGTGATTCCCAAAGTAGTTCTACAAGTAATGAACAAAATTTGGAAACAGGAACATCTATTATGGATATGTATCAAGCTTGCGATTCTGAAAAATCCAGGGAAGAAGTTAGGGAAAAAGTTATCCAGATGATGAGTGAAGAATATGCAGTATCTGTTGTAGAGCCAGGAAAGTTTGCATTAAAATATGCTCTTGCGGCACCTTATCACGTATTTTATACAAGAATCGAAAAATCTAAGGAAACTTACGATCAACAATTCTCCATAACTTTCCCTGAGATCCTCGATAGAAGTCTTGGCGAAATTGTTAACAGTCTTCATCTAAATTTTATGGTAGATGTCGGATGGTTGTGTTTGCAGTATCTGTTGGCTGGCCAATGTACCAATATGATGATTTTATATGGTGAAAGAGTAGATAGTGAGAAATTAAGCCCCAACATTACCATGATACATGTACAGATGCCTAATGAATTTGGTTGTCATCATTCTAAAATCATGATTCTTCAATACAAAGATGATGGAATCAGGGTGGTAGTTTCCACTGCTAATTTATACTCTGATGACTGGGAGAATCGGACACAAGGGTATGTTAAATATTCTTATTAGATATTTCTTGTTGACGATATGACGTTTATAGATTAATATCTTTTCATTATATTCTCATCAGGTTATGGATCTCGCCTCATCTACCTAAACTTCCGGAATCCGCGAATCCCAACGATGGAGAATCCCCGACAGGCTTTAAGAAAGACCTGGAGCAATACCTGAATGAATATAGACATCCGGTTTTAACACAGTGGATTAGGGCAGTACGAAGGGCAGATTTCTCTACCGTGAACGTATTTTTTGTGGCCTCTGTTCCTGGAACCTACAAAGTTACCGAGGCCAATTCTTGGGGATGTAGGAAATTAGCGTACGTTCTGTCGAGTCACGCAACATTACCACCGGATGCTCCTCAGTGGCCCATAGTCGCGCAAAGTTCCAGCGTAGGCTGCATGGGTCCAAATCTCGGAAGCTGGTTGTCGAGGGATATAATTCGGTGCATGTCAAAGGAGAGCACCAAGGGCCTAAAGAATCGTCCAAACTTTCAATTCATCTATCCGTCGACAGAGAATTACAAGCACAGCTTCGATTGTCAAAATTTGTCTTGCTGTTATTGTTACAGTGCGAAAGTGCATTCCAAACAACAATGGTTAAAATCATATTTATGGTAAGCTTCAAACGCCTTAGATCTGTTCCGTTCAGTTTTACGCTTTAGAAGCGATCCACGTATTTATACAGAATGTTATGATGATCTAGCCAATGGAAAGCCAAGCGAACAGGACGAGACCAAGCGATGCCCCATATTAAAACATATACGAGAATTTCGCCCGATTTGAAGAGAATTCCCTGGTTCGTACTTACCAGTGCAAATCTGAGTAAAGCTGCGTGGGGAGTTCAACGAAGGCATTATTATATAACGAATTATGAAGCCGGTGTTGTATTTATACCAAAGTTTGTTGTAAGTTTCACTATTGTCATTATTTCACACAGACATACACACACACATTTACATATTTTCTTTTTATTCATTGGTTAATAATTTAATTAATTAAATAAATATAAAAGTATATTGAAAGGATATATCAGCTGATTAACATTAATTTTAATGCTATTATTTCATTTGTGTTTGTATTTATAGACCGAGACAACGACGTTTTCTATTGATGACGAAGAAGACTCAGTTGTTCCTGTGTTTCGGATTCCATACGATTTGCCGTTACATCGATACAATTCCAACGACAGTCCCATGGTCTCGGAGTTTTTCGATACTCTGTGTGAACTCTAATTTCTGAGATAAACAATGTTTTTTTAGCTTCTTTCTTTTAAATCATGGAATATTTTTATATTGTAAAAAAGAAGATTCTCACAAAACACTCGTTAATGACGCATACAAATTTGCATTTATTTATATATATTTTTACAATATTGTGGAATAATAATAAACATCTTTATTCTCTTCCTCAGCAAAACGTTTCCTTCATGAAAACATGTAGAAGTTATATGAACAAGTTTTTATGACTTTTAGGAATTTTTGACATATCTTGATTTCGATTTCCTCAAGTTAGTTGTAATTTCGGATTATAGTTAATTAATGTTTTTACTGTCCTTAATTAATCATCACGAGAGGGAGGTCTGCGCACAAGAAAGAAGAAGATGCAAAAAGGCGACAGATCGTTCAATGAGAATCCTCGCGTGGTGCGCGTGACTTTTTTTTCGCTTTGATTTCGCGACAAATTCGTACCAGCGTCGCGTTTCAAAACGCGTTTTCCATAAAACATCAGTATGAAAGCGCTTCCTCGACACGAGGGCCGAAATGTTCTTCCCTCATCGTAGTGTTAGTGTCCGTCCTGTGCATGCTCAGCCTTCAAACGGCTGTTAATCATACCGCAATATTCTCGTATAAGTACGCGGCAATTATGTGTTCGCAGACGTTGGCCAACGCGTCTCTTGTCACGAGAAATATATATATGATTCATAGAAATATGTGAAATTCTTATTAAACAATGTCAAGTTCTCCGCGATCAGACACGTAATAACAATGCATTATTAATAACGCAGGCGCATGATAAATAGATTCTGTTTTTTTTTAAGTATTTTTATTAATGACTGGCGTTAATTGCTCTTACAAAGCAAGATCCACAAAGGAAATAGATATTTAATTTTTTACATTTTCCATTACACATGTGTATTTCGATATATGTATAGGCATTGTTCAGCTTTACACACCTTATTTCGGCACGCACGCTCCTTATCTTTTTGCCGCATTACATCGTATTTACATCTATGAAAGAATGTAAACATTACTTCCCTCAGTAAATACCGAGCGATTCTGCTAAGTCTCGCATTATCGATATTACCTGGTAATAATCTTGTTATGCCGAACTCTTTTTCCAACATTATCTATTTTAAGTGGCATGACATTAATATTGACAAGACCTCTGCTAAAAGAAATCCGGTAATTTATTGAGACTAATATTTTTAGCAAGCAAATTATATTTAATATTATTATATATAATAATTTGTATTTAATTATTTATATAGTATATATACTTTTTATCATTAATATTTTTTGATAATTGACATTTTATTAATTGTTTAAAATTATTTAAAAGTTCATCGATTAATTACATTAAGATATATCAGCTATTTATTTATATATCAACTTTTATAATTATTTTCTAATTATATATAGCTTTTAATTGGCTTCTCGTACTGCTCGCCTTCGTTCCGTACCGGATCAATTCTCTCACGTTGGAACTCACAGGAGCGGATGACGTCAAAGTTCTATGAGCTCTAAACCTCCCACCAAGAGTCCGACTTCCTAGTTGGATGTCCTCGGCGCAGATGCGGTTTTCGGGAAGGGGCATCACGGCGTTCGCCGAGGACATCGATCAGCAGTACGCGAGATGTCATCGATAGGATAGGATCGCCACCGGATGTATTCTGATGGATGTCACTCCGCATACTTATCGGAGCTTCGGTGCCGGCATCCGTTTTCGAAAGATCTTGCCAAAAGAACATTAAACACTCCCTGTCAAATCTACAGAATTCTTTAGAAATATCGTAAGTATTGACCTAAGAAAAAAATCGGAAGTGACACATTCCATATAGATGTGTATATGTGTGGCGTGTGTGTATTATATAAAAGATGAACTTCGTGAGTAGACGCTAAATTTTCGGCAAGAAAATAACACAATAGGCCCAGAACGTGTCGCGCCTGATAATACGATGGTAAATACGAAATTATTGGTAAATACGAAAGTAGGCTTCAATGTAACATAAAATTATTCGTCTTGTCTGTTTTATCTTGTCCGATTTTTATTAATTTTTTAAAAATTAGTTTGTTGCACGAGATAATTGACGCTGATTGTGCTCGAGCCGATTTTCATCCCCTGTTTGAACAGAGTAAATTGAACTTTGCACTCGTGATACTTCGCGTAAGATGTGTTTTATTTTGTCTGATTTTTATTAATTTCTTTAAATTAATTTATTGCACGAGATTAACAGTGATTATACTTGAGCCAATTTTCATCCCCTATTTGAATAGGGTGAATCCAACTTTTTATTTGCAATACATTGCGTAAGATTTTGTAATAAATTTGGGACAAATATCTTAACACGACAAAAATAATAAAATCTTCAAAATTTGTTATTATGTTATTTATTTATTATAATATTTATTATATGTCTGTGTAATTAATAAAAAAGCGATTAAAATAATTAAAGCAAAAATATATATGTCAGCGTATCTTATTCTTATAATTTTTATCATCCTTCTCTCGATTTTATTATTATTATACTTATTTAATTCTTATCCTCCTTTTTTATTCTTCAACATAAAATTAACATGTATCGAAAATTCGATTAATTCGAGCACAGTTTGGCTGCATTTTGTTTTGACGTGAACCGCATGAGAGATCGCTGACAATCAGCTGTCAAGTTAGCAGAATCGATTAACGTCGGTGATTCAACCTGTAAGTTCACTATATATTTTTAAAACGTGTTATTTTTACACTGATAGATTTTTATTTGGCGAACGAGACGATCCTTAAGGAAATCAGTCTTCGAGGAAGAGATTCGATATATTGTATATTAATACGTTTATATGTACTGGGCATTCAAGGTTCAGATCAGACCCTGCTCTTGCATGATAAATATGTATAGAAACGCGTCGCGTACAAAGTAATGGTGATTTGAAAAGACAAGCAATAGTGTGCAAATATATTCGTCATTGGCAAAGTCATGTTTTTTCTATGGGAGAATCGACAGTATATTCAAATATATTCAATAGGAAGTTTCACACACTGCAATTCTTAAGATTAATATCGCTATTTCGAACAATGCTTCTATTCTCAAACAATATCATTTCCATCTTTGAAAATTTTTCGCGACTGTAATATACTTTTTATTCCACATACGCTTCCGTATAAATTTAACAATAATTTTTTTCAAACTCTCCTACACAAATGAAAGATGCAAATAATCCATATCGTTAAATTTCAGTTTCAAGTTCTCACTTTCCCGACTCTCTCCGCCAGGCAAGCAAGAGAGCCTCTAATTTTAATTTCCCTCGACAGATTCAGCAGAATGACATTAGCGAGCGTCTTAAGATGAAGCCGCGTCGAGGTTGCTGCAACTCGTCCGGAGTCTTATTTCGACATGGTCTGCGAGCGCAGTCTGCGTTTTTATTGACTAAACGAGAAACGCTAGCGAACGCCAGCCGCCGCTCGGACAAATCGATAAACCGGCGCGAGCTATTGCGGCGGTGTCGAGATTTTCCAAAGTCTAACAACCCCTCGGTGTAGGAGAAAGCGTCGACTTATACTCCTGATTTTCAATTCGGAGCGACGACCGATCAGGATGATGACTTGCTGGGTCCTCGTTGGCGTCTTCGCTGCCGTAGTACTCATTTACAGTCTCATTGAACTGCATTATTTCCTGCGGATATGCCTGACCGTCTTCCTCGCACGTTACTGCAAAAAAGAGTGCACATTCTCGACGAAACCGTAGTTTACGGTATGTAAATCTTCTAGAAATACATATGTTAATACATTTTTTATAAAATACTTAGAATTGAATAGGAATGCTAGATTATTGCTGAAAATGATACTAATTATAATTTAATTTTATTTAATATAAACGCGAAAATATACATAATGAATGTCATATATAAGATAATTAATTCAATTTTAATTTTCATACATTAGTTATAATTTATATTTGAAAAAAAGATATAAATCGAATATACAATATCGATATAAATACATGTCATTACATTTTTTATAAAATGCTTAGAATTCATTGCTGAAAATGATACTAAATACAATTTAGTTTTGTTTAATACGAACGCGAAGGTATACATAATAAATGTCATATAAGATAATCAATTCAATTTCAGTTTTATATTATATTTGAAAAAAATATATATCAAATATCGATATAAGAGATTGTAAGAATTAAAAAAATTGTAACATTTAATTAATGCCATGGGGATATAAGAAAATATTTTAATATTATATTTTTAACCGTTCCATATATATATATATATATATATATATATATATATATATGTGTGTGTGTGTGTGTGTATGAAATCATGAAAAAATATAATATAAAAATATGTTTTCATACCCCTATGACATTACATTAAATGTTACAGTTTTCAAGAATATATTTAAAAAATTTTTAATATCAATTCTCTTTAATAAGAGAATCTTCTAATATATCGATATTGTATATATCTGTTTTATATTTTTTCAAAATAAGTTACAATCAAAATGTGAAAACTGAAATTGAATTAATGGTATATATGAAATTACCTTCTTCACGTTTTAATAATAATTATTTCAACACAACGATTTAATTAATAATGCCTACGTAAAAATCAAATATGTAAATGAAAATATATATATATATATATATATATATATATATATATATATACAATTTTTCTCATAATTATAATAATTTATTTATTTATAACATATCTCTCAATTGTGTGTGAGAATATAATTATACATTACATAACGAGAACATTAGATATATGTTACGTATGTTGAGTTTATCGTTACGATAGTTTAAGAATCCTTACAATTTGCTCAGTTATATATTTACGTGTGTTTTAACCTTGATTTACCACGTACGGAATCAGTTAATCAATAGAATCGTTTGCCTACCTGCAGACTGATATTAATTATATGTTACAGTGAGCTTAAATAGTGCAACGTTTGCACGTTTTTATAAAAAGAAGGCATGTTCGGAATTGTACTGTGACTAATACACGTTCGTTTCATGCAAATAACTAATAACCTTTGATTCTGCTTCTACATTGCTTATGTTATTTTTGTAGAAAAACTTGTGCGTAATAATATTCTAGCGAATATTGCGGACATGTCAATTAACGATTTGCTATTATACAAAGGCTCAATCAGTTCCGCATCTTTAATTCTTTTAACTTCGTTGAAAAGTTAAAATCAACGATGTATCAAAGTATTATATATTGCATCATATGACATGTAATAATTTTCGGTTTCGATTAATTGTACAAAAATAATTTGATAACTATAGTAGTCAAAATTTGATAACTAGTAGTCACTTAACTAGTCAAAGTATATAAAGAGTGTGTCAGAAGATTGGGTTTTGTATTTTTAAATTATGAAACACATTTCTTATATTTTATTATTATTATTATTATTATATATTTTCAAGCTCAAAAAGCACCGAATTTTTTAAATGATAATTTTATTGCGTTTTATGAACATTGATTTATTCATTATGCATATTAATCTGATAAATCTACGTGAGACGTCATAACGCGACATTTTAATCACTTTAATTGACGCGAAAGCATCTACGTTTAAAATCGAAATTATGTAATTAATAAGGAATTGCGTATTTCATTTTGCGATTATAGAATTTGTATAATGTATTTTGACTTTCACAGGTATCTGCACCACGACGGATGTGGACGCCCTTTTATATCACATGAACAACGCGAGATATCTTCGCGAACTCGATTTTGCGAGAGTCGATTTCTATGAGAGGACAGATCTTTATCGAGAGGTTTGTTCTCAAGGATCCGGCGTAGTACAAGGAGCTACTACTATACGATACAGACGCTTTATTAAGCCGCTAATGATTTTTAAAATAACGTCTAAGGTAATTTAGGAAAATTCCGTATGAATACGTGCTTTGGAAACATTTTTAAAAGTTTATAGAAAATCGGCGTTTATCAGCTAAAAAAGAGGTCAAAGAGATGAATTAATTAATTGCGCAAACAACAATTAATAATTAATAATTATCCATTTTTTAAAAAATTATATAAGGTCAATTATTTGAAAATATTCTCTTTTTTTATGATGCCGATTATCGATTAGTTAGCTTAATATGCATGTACATTATTTTATATGATTTCTCATTGAGCGAATCATCATTTTAATATCATCAATCATAATTTTGCATCTTGAATATTGAAAGAGTAAATAGTGAAGTCAATTTTATTTTTATTTTTATTACATGTTTGCTATATGTTGATATGTTTATTTGATTGATACCATAGCGAGTTTAATAATATGATTTTTGAGTAAGAACAAAAATGTAATATACTTTTCTCGAATTTGTAATAATATGTTAAAAATCTATCATTATGGAGATATTTTTACAGTTTTTAAATGTGTGTGCAGCAGCTAAATTTACAGCGTGTTCTTCCCTTTGTCAATGGAATATTAAATCTAAAGAAGGCTAAAAATATAGTATTAAAATAGTGCTTTAAAAAATTAAGATTTAAATGAAATTTAAATAAAATCGATATTATAATTGATAACAAGCAGTTAAAAATCAAATAAACTTTATTAGAGGATTTCAAAGAAATTTTGTTGGATTTCAAAAAAATGTTACTCAGAAATTTATTTTAGAATATCTTTTCTTATATTTAATAAAAAACTTATTTGAAGAGTGTAACTTATAAATTAATAACTGTTATAATTAATCTTTTAATATTTCAATATAAAAATATAATAACAATAAAACAACTGAAATACATGAAAGATGGATGCAAAGAATGTGTAGTATAATTTAAAAAATAATCATCTAATTATTTAATATTTAACACAGTATGTGCTACAATAGTCATACAAAATAGGTAAACAACTAATCCTCTTAGCATTTTTACCATTTATAATTCTAGGTAAATACTGTTGATTGCAATGCATTACGCGATTAGATGACGCAAAATCTCAAAACTCATGTAATTGGCCTTATGAAAACGTTCTTAATAACATAGTCTCATATCATTTTTTTCAATCATCAAGAAATACAATTTGACTAATTGTAAGCAAAGAGCGCAATAACGCAAATAACGAACCAATTATTTTAAAGGATAAAAAAGATTAATTTTATTTTCAAGGGCAAAAATCAAAGAGAGTCATTAACAAAAGTTTATTATATACAAAATAATATTATTTTACAAAAACACACTTTTAGGAAATGAATTCAGATTATGCGTTTCGCCTGTATGTCTGTACGTATTTCATAACAATGCATGTGAAAACAATACATACATATTTTTTGTGTATATAATAATAAGATTTTAAAAATATATACTAAAAAAGATCAATAATATATTTGTGACAGAATATCATAAATTGATGGAAGGTAACGTAATGAGAAAATGAACTGAAATAGACGCGTTAACATAATTGTACTTGTTTTTGTGTGCATAGTTACATAAGCATATTATGACAGTAAGAACAATTATTCAAGTATGGAAAACATTCAAATTATCTAATAAAAATATAACAATTCTGTCATTCTGTCTGCCTGTGTGTTTTTTTGTTTTATCAATTATATTACATATATTAAATAGATAAAATGATACAGCGTTTTGTGTTTAACAAATTTTAATATTAGCATCTCGCTAGAAAAAGTAAAATTTTTGACAGCATTTTATACAGTATTTTATACAGTAAAATAATGAAGACTATTGTTTATATATTTTTTCAGATTATTTATTGGGACGATAAAAGTTTTTTTATGGAGCATCGATTTATTACGCCGAGCGATGGTTTCATTAGAGCCATTGCGATTTGCAAACAGAGACTTCTTGATTGTAATGCTGACACTGTTATCGGTGCTTTATTAAATCGTACGGTGAAACAGAAGGGAAATGTCGAAGCAGGTGTGACGCAGGTAGGAATAAATTACAAACGCATTTAAAAAACGCATTCACAAATATAAACGTCATTAAAAAATATAGATATTACTTTTAATAATTTAATTGCTATCAGAAATATTTCTGTATATATATATTAATGTGTATATATATATATTACATGTGAACAACGCGAGATATAAAAAATATTATATATTTTATGTATTAAATTATATATTTATTTATATATTATTATTATATATTATATATATTTATGTTATTATTTATATTTTAATTATTATCACTTTTCCATAAAGATGGAAAGCATCAGCATTTATTGCGATTGCTCCGATTTTGTTTCAGTATCTGATTATTATTTAATTAAATGGAGTCTAAAAATAAAATTTATGCTATTATGCATATTTTAGGTGCCTTCTATACGGCCGGAAATGCCACCCGAAGTGAGTAGATGGATAGAGAGCAATGAGATATCCTCGGCAATATTGAGACAGGAGCCAATCCTTACGACGCATTGCTGACAAAAGGATGCAACGACGTCCAGCAATGACGTTGTTGTGACACCGATATACACAACTACGACTGTGTAATAAAAATATCGGAATGCGATATGTACTCTTGATCTCGAATCTTTAATCATCAGACATTCTGGCGAGATTCCTGGATGAATTAATTATAATTTATGGCTGTTCTTGCAACTTGAACGTTTAATTATTTATGACATGGTGAAAACTTAGCGCGTTAAAAAGTTTTCAAAGTAAACGATAAAAGTGATCTACAATGAGACCTAATTTATGGAACCTATGCCCTAATATCCGCTCATTAATGCGGAATGAAGAATAGTCGTCAGTTAATACAATATAATTGCGCAAAAAGCGATTGGTCTCTTTCTAATGTTCTATTAAAATATGGATTAGACAAATTAAAAAAATAATTTAGCAAAATTTTGAAAAGAAATTTTTCAAACAAAAATGCAAATACATTGTGTTATTGTTGTATATTATAATTATATAATATTTTATTTACATGAAAATAAAAAAATATGATGTAAAATATTAAATTAAAATATTAAAGAGTTCAAATTTGGCATAGATTAGGAAAATTAAATTGTATGTATAATATTTTTGCATCAAGTGATAAAATAATATCTCAAAATCAAAATGGATTTTTTGTGTCATTATTTATATTAATTTAACATTTAAAAAATTGTGAATATATTTTATTATATTATAAAATATATACAGCATATATAAAAACATGTAGAATATTCAATGCGCTACTAGCGATAACACTGATAAGATATACATATGTATATATGTGTATACGTATGTATATATTGTATATGTGTAGAATATATTAATACAGAGTGTTCAGTAATAATCAACTTCTCATGTGCAAGTAGAACGAATTACATCAAACAGGAAAGTCTTCTATGTTTTTCGACCTTCGCAATAATTAATGAGAAATTAATTAAAAATCGATCAATCCGCTCAAATACGAGAGGCATAAGAAGAGGCATAAGAAGAGACATTGCAATGTCGCATAACTGCGTAGATTGGTCGATCTTTCTTCATTAATTTCTCATTAATTATTGCGAAGATCGTAAAATCGGTAGAGGATTATCTTATTCCGTTTAACCCGTTTTACCTGCAGATGTGATGATTGGACACATTGTATGTATTTTACACTATTGGTTACACATTAACGCTTCTGAAATTTTCGGTATGTAGTCGCCTCGATGCAAAACGTATACCTATATATACGGCAGGGAAGTAATAAAGTATTAAATTATTTACCATGTAACAATGGATGCCTGCGTACTTATATAGTATATATTAGGTGCCTTCACATATATATATTATATATATATATTGAAAAATATATATACATAAATCTATTAGATTAAACGCATTGTTTCGTAACTTCAACCTTCTTACATTGTAATATTTCAGTTATTTCCCTCCTTTTATTTATACACATACCGATGATATAGTTTAATGCCTAATCGGATATGCGAAATATATGAGCATAATTAAATGACATCCGTGTTTTAGTAAGGTCACTGATTTAATAAGAACGTTAATTACTGAGTCTCGCACGTTCCTACATTCAAACTTTCACCATGTCTTCTATCAAATGTTCGATAGAAATTGATAAAATTTAGTAAAAGTACTAAAAAATCTCATTTTTAATATAGCAATCTGTTCGATTTTAATTTATTTCAGAAATCTGACAATCAGATTTTAGTTATTCCTATTTAGGTAGTTATAAAATTGTTTTTATACTTATCAATAAATCTAAACAGAATTATATTTTCCGAATATTTATATAAAAGTATGATGTGTGCGTGTAAATTTTTGTTCAAAAAAAAATCAGAGAGATTTAATTAACAAAAATGAAGACAGTACTTATTACACAGTGACTAATATCTTTTTTTTAGTTCTCTCTTTTACTAATAAATTCGTGATATATAAGTGCGTTACATAAATATTTGTAATATTTTGTAAAATATTTTGTTGGTAAATTTCCGATATTTACAATGCTTAGACACGCTTATTCGTGACGGAATATAGAAGCATCTTTTTGTAGTCACGCTACCTGAACCGGTTCTCCCGTATATTTGAGACCGCAACATATCGGAGTGTTACTCACGGTCAGTTCTCTGCCGACCGTGAGAAGGCGCGCATCTCAAGTCTTCGTGTTATCGAGTTGTTGTTCAGATATCAAGAAAGACGCCAGTATAAGAAGCTAATTATGCTGTGTTTCTGCAGCGTGGCGACAATCGCCATTCTTTACATTTTATTCGATGTGAACTACTTCTTGAGAATTATCGGCACCGTCATGTGGGGTAGACTCTTCGAGAAGAAGAAAAAACTCTTTGACAAGACAACAATTTATGGTAAATTCTCGTATTTTCACTATAATGTCAATTGCATTGAAATACATCGAATTAATCACAGAAAAAACAGTATCCTTGAGAGAATGCAAATATGCCTTGATTCAAGTATATTTTATCCTTATAATAGCACCAAATATAAATAATTTTGGATAAAGGATAATTTATCCTTAAAACAAAGTGCAAAATATTCTTGGTTGAAGCTGAAATTTACTTATAAATATTGCAAGGACAAGTGACAAGTGTGCATCGGATATAAGCGGTACTTTCAAATAAATATAATAATTCTTAGTTCAAATGTGACTAAGTTTGTTTTTACCATATACGATTTTTAAAACAAGAATATATCTTAAGGATAAAATATACTTTACACAAACTTATTTATTATTAAGACAAATGAAAATTTGTGATTACAAAGAGCATTCTATGCTTAAATCAATCAAATAGCGTTCAAGAATAAAAATATACTTGAATCAAGGATTCCTTTTTCTCTGTGATGAATTGTTTAATATTCCGTTATATAACCTATTGTATATATGCTTGATTATTCCAAGAAATATTTCAAGAACATAAGATTGAGATAAGAAGCAAGGTAATGGAATTAATTATTACATTTATTGAATCAATTAAAAAAATATTGTGTGAGAAGAGTGAAAAAGTTTTCTAAAATATTTATCGTAAGCATTTGACGCGCAAATTAGAAAATAAAACATATTATTAGTTTTTATTCAATATAACGGAGACGTGTAAAATTATATTATCTATCTTCTGTTACTATACTTGCATCAAAATCAAAGTTCACAAATAATAATTAAGAAAAGCAAGCCACAGTAAAGATATATTATAGGTAATAAAGAATTATATATAATGTACATCTTTTTTTATTCGTAATCTTGCATGCGCGTCAATATATTCATAATTTATTATTATTATTCAAATAAATGCACGTATTTATGACACCACATTTTTACATTGCGAACGTTTCTTAAATGTGACAGAGTGTGACAGGTCAGCAAATAACTGTACTTACGTGATGCGTCGACATATTTCTTGTATCTCTAGAATCTATGTATCTTTCACAAACATATATACACATTCCTACAGAAAGATTTATAATAATTAAATATACAAAATGTACTTTAGTAAAATTTACTGTGACAAATTTATTCCTTAATATGAATTTTTTATTTGATAATTGATGATTTGATTAATTTATTTAAGCAAATTATAATTTAGAGGCAAATATAAATCATACAATTTAAATTTTCATAAGACTTGAACAATTGATGATTGAAATAATTTTGTGTAAAAATTCAGATGACGTAGTAATAATATAGCTGACACAGCGATTTTTATATTTTTCAGGTATCTGTACCACGCAGGATGTCGACCTGGTTTTGAAACACATGAATAATGCAAGGTATCTGCGCGAGTTGGATTTTGCGCGTTTTCATTTTTATGATAGATCGGGAATTTATGCAGCAATTGTAAAAAGAAATGGTAGTGCAGTTCAAGGTGCATCCACCATACGATATCGCCGTGCGGTTCCTATGTTTATGCCATACAAGATTACAACAAAGGTTACGATCAATACTTTTTTTGCATTGTCTTAGCTTTCTCTATTTATAATTAATAATTATATCTTTCTTATATAATTAATAATTATATCTTTTTTATATAATTACTAATTATATCTTATATAATTAAATTTAATTATATCTTATATACATAAATTAATTATACCAATTATTATAATTTATATAATTAAATCGTTTACACAATATTTATTATAAATTAACTATTTTAAATATTTGGAATATCATTTCTATTTTTACAGCTCATTTACTGGGAAGATAAGCACTTTTACGTAGAGCAACAATTTATCAGTCTCACGGATAATTTTGTTCGTGCTGCTGTATTAAGTAGACAAACTGTAACCGGATTGAAAGTGCCAGTATCGGATGTAATTGCCGACATCGAGCCGGAAACACGTAGACCAGAGCCCACCAAAGAACTTCAACTATGGCTGGAATCTATGGAAGAGTCATCTAAAAATCTGAGAAAAGATGAATGAGAAAAGATATATAGTTTAAATAATTTTCACAATATATTGTTTATTTTCTTGTTAGAAAGCTTTTGTATTTCGGTTTGTTCTTCGGTTCTTGTTACGTTGTTAAATATATATAGTCTTATAAAATGTATCTGGTATATTGTATCATCTTAAATAGATTATCTTTTTATATTGTGATATATGTAACACTGTTTTTTTAAGTTGATTTAAAATATTATTAGAAATATTAGAAATTGTAACACTCTAATTTTTATGTTTTATAAACTTTTGAGATATTATTTAGACTAAAGTTACAAATAATTTAAATTAAAATATATTAGATTCATCGTTTCGACAATCTATGCAATTAATGAAGATTTTATTATATAAAATTTCAAAAAATATTTCTTATATGTGTGTACAATTTTTATATATTTACATCTTATGTACTATTATACGTAATTAATTTTTACACAATTACAGAGATTTAAATAGTAATGAATGCAAATAATTTATTTTGCATTCGAACAAAGTTTACGCATTTATCATGACACTGATAAAATTTTATTGGCTCACACAATTGCTGCAATATTCAAAACAGAACTTATCATACAATTTTTTATTCGAAATAATATTATCTTGCCGATACGAGTCGACAAAATTTTATATACTCGTTATCAAACACTTTTGCGCATCGCCTTAATCGATTTTGTATCTGTAATTAACGCGTTACGGATATTATAATTTTTTTTTATATCGTTCTGGTCATCTCGCAAAGCTGGCTTCGATACAACCGTCAGATGGCGAGCCTGGTACTGGTTTGAAATAAACGGAGAATGGATGTTTCTGCGAGCTGGCGTATCGCGCGCGCAGTCGATCCGTGAACTCGAAAGCTGCCGCGAAGCAAAAGCGAGATCCGACCTTCGTTTGCGCTTTCCGTGAACTTTTGTGAGCTATTCGCTGACGAAGAGCTCGCGACAGCTCTCTGAGAAGAATAATACGGATGATCCTCCTCCAACCCACCTGTGAGTGATCAGTGAGCTATTTTGTTATTGCTTGTTTTTTTTGCGAAAAGTCTGTTTTTCATATTTAAGTGTCTCCGTTTTTTCCTTATTTATCTCGCTTCTTAAACGCGCAACTTTTGCAAATTTTATTTAGAAAAGAGTTACATTTGTCATAAGTCGTGTATCGCAAAAGTTGATCTCATACATTTTTATGGGAAACATTTAAATATGAAAGACTGATTCTATGTAAGTGAATCTACAATTATGTTAGGATGACTGAATTGAATACAATGTTGAAAAAAATTTAATTGTCATTAAAATTTGCCGATAAAAGCACGCGATATAAATAGAGAAAATATCAGAAATTTTCAAAAAACTATTTGTGATAATTAGTATTAAAAAATCTTTTATTATTGAAATAATGACGGACTTCTTGCTCGCGCATTTGTATATATATGGCATGTATGACAAACAAATTCATGAAAAAAAAAATAATTTATATTATTTTTTTTCATGAATTTGCTTATGTCATACATGCCATATATATACAAATGCGCGAGCAAAACAAGTTCGTGTAATATAAAACTTACTTAAGAAAATGCGAATGCGATTCACTTGTATGTTTCGTCCTGAATTATTAAACGTTTTGCAAATTCAGCATGTGAAACTCGCGTATTTTTACAAATACAACCTGGAATACAGTCGGTGTTATATATATTTGTGAATGCAGTTAATGATAACTGCACGTGCGTAAATGCACGCGCGAATAAAATTACGAGATAAAATTACATCACAAGAAAACATATAGATCAGACATTATTTATCCATCGTTATTGTTCGCATCGATTATATATCGGCACGATTTCTTATAGATAAATGTTAGTGAAAGTTGTTGGAAAGAGTTGGATGTGCACTCTTTTTTCTTTTTTTAATAAAAAGAGAGAGATAAAAAATTTCTAATTTTTTAAATAAAAATACATATACAGAATATAATAAAATCGCTAATTAATTTTAATCAATTTTGGGTCAATTTTTTAATTACTTTTTGCTTCAAAAATAAAAAGCGTTTGACAAACTAAGTCTCAAGAAAATGAATAAATTATACAATTGTATTTATTAATTTAAAAAGAATTTTTTACATTTCTTTTAATTTTTTCTTATTAAAAATATATAATATTAAAAATTAAAGAAAGATATGTGCAATGAGAATGATGACTTTTCCGTAAGATTTTGGGTTTTAATAATGTATTGATAATTCAATACAGATGTAACATTCTCTATATCTCATAAAAAGTGACATTTCTAAATTTGAAATATAATTTATTTGTAAAATATTAATTGAAAAACTCGAATTCGAAATGTCTCTCCCTCGCATCACTTTATCGCGTCAAAGAATAATCATCGCATCATACTGCACAGATTAATACTGTCGCGTGTATCTCATGGTCTCATCAGCCTCGACGAGATGATTTAGACCTCGACGGAAAGGATTAATATGTTTTCAACGAATTGTCGCGGCCTAGCGATTGCGATTATTACGCGAATTTACTGACGTATGCGCTCCTTTGTACTCCGTTTAATGTGCGTAATTACAAATTAGACAATTTGTCTAATCGAGCGACGCTACTAAGGAGCACAAACATCCGAGATCTCTGTCTCATTCTCTCGAAATAATAAGGAGAAAGTTTTACTGCTCCATGATTTTCTCACGATTTTTAAAAATCGGGAACGATTGCCATTGTAAAATTTTTTAAGCAAAATTGCATGCACTTTCCTGAAATCGAAATCGAAATCGAAGAGCGCGTTGATAATTCGCGTTTCTGTTATCCTAAATGCCAGGAAATCGATCGTGCGAACAGCTCCCTCGTCGATTTCTCTTCCCATGCACCAACATTTAACAGAACAATGAATCAGTGCTTTCCTCGGTGAATATATATACTCTCCTAATGATTTACTTTCTCTGCTAAATTCGTGAGAAACTACACATTTCAAGTTTAAGTAGCAATGAATAGAAATTATTTCAATTACTTTATAATCCGACCCACTTGCTCTTTCAAATACATTTAAAATTGTTATGAAGTAATTTAAATATCAATACAAAATTTTGAATTCAATTTTCGAAAATAGAATTTAGAATTAAGCGAATGCAATCAGAATTTTTTCAGGATGTGTCTACATAAAATAAAATTTAATTATTTTTATCATATATTTTGGAAAGGATTTAAATACAATAATATATATCTCTTGAAAAGTAAAAATGTTTAAAAATATTTTATTTTTTAAAATAAATTTTATATGGATATGAAAAATAGCATAATTAAAATTATATATTTTTGTAGCTTTCTCTCATTAATATTTTTTTAATGAAGAATATATATGTATATTCTAGTCTGTATTTCATATAGCAGAAATTGCGTGATGTATCTAAAAGAATGTTATTTTCAAGAAAGAGTTGACAAACGCAAACACACACTTTAGGAACGAGGCAGGAATTACAATGATGGATTTATCTATTGAAAGAAAAAAATTTCTTAATGCGGTGTTTAAGAAACCGATCACGTACACGTGGGAAGGATCAAGAGGGATTAAACTGTGTGGCTGGATTCGTGTAGCTGTCTTTAAGATGAAGGATACGCATGTCTTGACACATCGTCCTACGATTAGCGACTAATTTATGATACGTAATGTTTTGTAGTTATTCTTATATAACTGTGATTTTTTTATTCCTCGACACCTGACCGCGTCAGGAAATTATAGATCGTCGTAACAAGTATAATAGGATGTCTCTATTACGAGTATGTGAGCTCTCATCGGCAAACTAGTTATGTATATTCTCCTAATGCGACATAATTATAGCTTTTCTAGCTCACGTTCTCGATCATGTAAGTGCCATAAATGATTTATGCAATCACTTCGCATGGAGTAACTAATGACTCCTGTAAATCTTTATATTTAACACACATCATTTTCATTTTTATAAAAATATATAAAATATATAAATAATCCAAATATATAAAAAATATATAAATAATGAAAAGTGCTCTGTTCTTGGTTCTATCGATCAATTTTACAGCAAATTTTCCAAGGAAATAAAGAATGGGGAATAAAAAGCTGTCAGTGAGAACGAATCTCTCATTACAGTATATTATGAAAATAATATAATACTTTTGCGACACATACATATATATGCGATCGCGCCGGAAGATTGATAATGAGACACGCGAGCTCCTTTCCTCGATTACATCACGTGGGAAGTTGAGTGCGTAGGACGACGTTAATGCGATGGCACGTGAAAAAAAGAGAAAGAGAACCGGGCCGCGTTAACTTTTACATTTAGGCATCGTCCACACGCATTTTACACAACGACGACGACGACGACGACGACGACGACGACGGAGTGACGAGCAGAGGGAAGATCATAGATGACCACAAATTGTCCGCAATTGGCAGGAAGTCGAGGCAGGGGGACCGTTTGTGCGCCCCTTTGCACTCTCCTCGGTGCACATTATTTTCACGCAGCCTTCCATTTCGTCCGTCAGAAATTGATCTCAGTGCCGATATTAATTTCACACGATCACATGTTCAATGTTACCAAATATTCTTTAATTATGCCTCAATTAGAATTTCAAAGATTATAATTATTAAATCGTAATAAGTCAAGGCTCTTATTAAATTCTAATAAATTTGATAAAAGGCTGTTAAGAGCAGTAAATATAAAAATTCAAATTATGTTAGAAAGTAAAGTCATATATAAAAATAATATTTTTTAATCTAATGTCTACTAATGAATTACAATAAAAGGTGACAAAAAAAATTAAACATAAGTACTCTTTAAATACAAATATAAAGCGAACGTTTATTTATTTATAATAATCCTTTTTCTTTCAATTTTTCTTTGCACATGAATCATTTTTATACAAAAAGTAGACAATTTTTTAGCTCTTTATTCTTGCGGGTAATATTTAATAATAATGCTATGAAATGTGTTACAACATGACAGAAGGGTTGTAATGCGTTTTACAGATACCATCTTCCACTTTATCCGCGTCAGAAATTGATCTCGGTGACAATATTAAATCTTCACGACACACGTTCAATATTATCAAATAATCTTGAAGCGTATTGAAATAATTAATCTTTGGAATACAATTATAATTTTTGTCCTTCAAACTTCTTAGTGCGCAATTTTTAAAAAAATAAAAAGTAAAAAAAAGAAATGTTCCAGCTCTTTATTCTCGCGAGCTTTAACAATAATGGCATAAAATGTGTTGTAACACAACAGGAAAGCTTGCGGTGTGTGTCTTGCAGATATTGGAATTTCTATAACAGCTATAGTCGGGATAAAAATAAGAGCATATCTCAAGGTCTATAAATATAGCTTACTTTGAAACGCCGCACAGAGAGAATAGGGTGGCTTTCTTCCTTCCGCACCTTCTGCCACTCTACCGTAGTACGTTGTAAATGTCACAGAGATTATACTTGACGCATGCGAAGCGATCGACCGTGAAATAAAAAAGCCGCGATCTCGCGCAGCAAGGTAAATTCTACGAGCGCCTTTCACGATTTCGACGAGCATTCATATTTTTTTAAATCAAATTTGCATCCGTTCCAATTCCATTTTTTTATCGTTTTTTTATCCTCCTCTCTCGCTCGAGTTTAATCCTCGCGATGTTCTTATTTAACGGGCGACAAGTGGCACGAATATTACAGATACAGTGGGTGGAGTTCTGCGTGAGAGCGGTACCTCGCTCTTGATAAGGCGAATCAATATTATTCAATTCTGATAACGGCCCTCATTGCGCCAAGTAGGGAGGGAGAACGCATTAATCGCGCAATCAGCTGATAACAGATTTTCCGTTAACTCGCGAATGCTCGGTCGAGCCGGTGTCTCGATTCTCGACTAGAGTATTATAATTAAAAAATCTTTTTGTGCCAAGTATGTACGGAGTTTTCAGTGAAAAGACAATGAAACACCTATTTTCGTGTAAATTGCGAGTGTGTGCACGATGATGGTTCTATTTACACTGCTAATGAGGAGGATATTGCATTTTGTTCTTAGATTTATCACCGATCGTTATTTTAATTGTGTACTCTGTCAGGTAAAAATTCATCTAAATGCTTATTTATGGATGAACGCAAAAATTTCATACATAAAATTCCGTATTAATTTATAGGAGATGAGAAGTATATCAGAAAGATCTTGATCAAACAAAAAGATACCCTTTCTCCTATAATCGTAGTTTTCTTGATAATTTGATTCCTTCACCTTGCTCTCTTCGTAAGGGTACGAGAAATTAACAATTCAGTGAAATTACTCGACCCATTAATTATGCTAATTACAATGCATCGCGAGCGACCCGAGCGATAACAATCAGTGGAACGAAAGCGTCATCAACAATGGGAGATTGTAACAGATGATGTTCGCTATACATAGCTGATGTGAATATAATATATATTTATTGTGTGAAAAGTCTTTTATTCAACAATTTTTTTTCATCTCGCAAATTAATCGATCACATAATTAATAAATATTTTTGACGCTTTTTAACATGATCTGAGAAGAATCATTTAATCATCTTCCATACGTGCATAAGATTTGATTAATTTTTCTTATCGTTATATATTGAAAAATTATTATTATAAAAAAATTATATAAAAGTAAGAGCGACATTAACAGAGAATTAACGTAAAAAAATAGATGAGAGGGTGATATTCCGCATCAGAAAAATATATTTAATAATCTTGGAGCAATATTGATAAGGAAAGTCAAATTATAAATCTATAATAATAGATCCAATTGTACTTTTCTAATCCGAGGAAAGCGGCGCATACATATATTTACTGTGAGAAGTATGCTAACTTAATTAAAGCGGCATAAGAATTTCTAGGAAGACGTCCACGCAAAAGTGAAGATTTTAATACACGAGACCTTTCGGCGAACGTTACCTTCACCTTTACAGCTCAACGTTCCCTGTACTACCTCAGCCGGGACGTAAAAGGCTAACAAAGAGTTACACGTCGAGGAGAGAAAGATGAGAGAGCCAGACGCGTCTCTCGGTATCACGAGAAGTGACCTTGAGGATGTCTTTCTTTTTTTCCTCCTCGACGGATCGTCTACATGAAAAGTGACGAGCACCGAAGCTTCCTCGTAGCTGTCACTTCCAATCTGCTCCGATCGCGATCTCTCCGCGATTACGTGTAGGTGAGCGGCTTCAACCGGAGCGGCTGTCCCGTTAGCGGACCTAGAAGGCCCCCTTCGAGAGAAAGACCGGACGGGAGCCAATCGTATCGGTTCGTGGCCGGACATATCTGAACACGCGGATCCTCATCCGACGAGAACTGTTGCAGTCAGTCAGTCAGCTGGGAGATGATCCTCTGGATCTTTCTCGCCGCCGCGTCGCTGGATTTCTCTCGCTCTTCTCCTTCTCCAAGCTCCATCATTAACTCCCGTTTCTCTCTTTCGTCCGTCTTCTCCTCGCGGTTTTTCCCCTTCCTCTGTTCCTCCTGCGATCTATCCTCCTCGGCTTGCTCCTCGGACGTACTTAGTATTTCCTGGTGATCCGTGATGCGTGCCACGAGACTCTCGCGCTGATGAGCACGGTGGGTTTCTTATCGCGGTAGCAGTAATTATTGTGTATAATAATATATCGTAAGAATATTCGTGGGAAAGATAAGGAAGCCGGGGACTCTTGTCTACGTGCGATATAGAAGGCGAGAGTTGCTGAATATGTGTGTTGATGTAATTAATACTCGTGCATATTCTCTCTGTGAGCGACTTTATAAGACGCGGCAGGTCTAATGTCAATTCGGGAAGTGACGTTTATAATTTCGCGAGTTTCCTTAGAACCGAATGATTACGTATTATCCGCTTTCTGTTTATACAAATGGATCACGCTCTCTACGTTTTTGCAGGAAATAACGCCAGCCCCTTCCGAGTGAAGATTTAATGAAGGATCAAGCCATGGGCCGCACAGGATACACGTGCATCAGGCACGTCTTCTGCTCCCTCAACGTTTTGGTCTGGGTAGGTTTCTTTGTTTTATTATTTTCTCCTAGACAATTTTTATTATTTATTTATATATCATAAATTTAACTTAATTTTTATTATTATTTATTATATATTTATATTATTTTAGTTATATTTCGTAATTATTATTTATTACTATACAATGGATGCTGAATTCTAAATTGCACAAAAATTAAAAAAAAATTGTGACTCTTTTGGATTTACGTGTGATTGAAAAAAATTCCTCATGTTCAATTTAAAAATCGATTAATTTCGAGAGCAGCACTCGAGTTATATTTGAACGTCTCGTGCGGATAAGAGATAAATACGTGTGAGAACGTCTTGAAACGAAGTTGAATGAAATGTTCCGTGTTGGCGCACAATTCGTAAATACATAGACGCAGAGTGCAGGCGCGATTTCAATTGGTCAGAAGTGATACAAATGAAACAATGCGACGAACAACGAACCATACGACTCTAATAAACACGGCCTACGCGGCGGTTTAATTAAATCGACGGTGCTTTTGTATTATTCGCATTCCGCGCCGCGCATTCTCTCTCTCTCTTGTTCCGTCCCCACTTTTTCATTCTATAATACTTAAAATTGTCTGTCGTCGGCGACGAAAGCCTTAAATAGGGCGTTGAACCGTGTTCTATGAGCTATGAACTTACGGTACTTAAGTCGATGATAAAAGCGCGGTAAACACGGCCTGTACTGAAACTGGTACACGTTTCTCTCATTACGCTCTTAAACGTGTTAAACGCCTGCCACCTGTTTTGTCGCGCGCACTTGATTATACTTGCATACTAATTGCTTTCCATTGTACAAATTCCGCAGACGGTGAAAAATGTACGTTACTCCAAGACGTGGTTATTTAGGAGGAGATGGTGTTAGAAAAATATATTTTAACGTCGTATAGGATTTTTGCAATTATCTAAATAGAATATTTAATGTGATACATATTATTAAGACATATATCTACGAGTGTAAAAAAATTTTGACAGCTTGAAGTAAGAAATGTTAAATGAACATATAGGCTCTATTTTAATTTATTATAGAACTATATAAAAGAGATTCCAATTTTATTAAAATGAAATATTAATTTTAATAAATTAATATATAAGAAATTTTATCTAGTTATAATTTATAAAAAACATTATATTTAAAAATTTAAGTAAATTATTAATTATTATTATATAAAAAATAAAATATAATATAATGAGTAACTAGTGCTCGCGAATGAAAACTTGACGCTTAATTAATAAGATCTATGACATTTTTTATTTCAAATTATCTCTCGAACAAGCTGTCAAAATTGTTTACCCTCGTTGTAGATCACCCCGATGAAATGTTATAACTTTTAAAATAAAAATGATATAGTTTATGAGTAATATATTATATTCTTTCCGCAAAAGTATGCATGCTACACATGCATCATTGACGGTAATTAGAAAGTACGGACGTGCTTTTGTACAATTAGCTATCGGGGTCGCGTAACAGTGCATTAATTTCTTAATTCATGTGCTGTGCGAGTCGCAATTTGTAAATTATGGCAACCCACTGCGAGTCTTTTTCCGCGCATAAATACGCGTATGCGTTACCACGCCGACGTGTTACATGCGTTGTGTTTATGTGCGTGAACACGTCCCCTTCGTTCGCGGCCGCGTTCGATGACGCAAGGTAGGTCGAGCGACGTCGGATGTATTCGCAATTTACGGGACTGACATGAATTAGCTGTAAGGTCAATATTCACCTGGGCTGGTTTGTCGGCTTCCCGTCGGGGACTGAGCTGACGGCTCAGTGGGTTACCCACTGGCTTACCTAGAAATTCTGTACTCTCTCTCGGACGTCTCTCTATTTGCGAGTGATTTAGCAGGTGAACGTTGTACCGTTAAACGTATGTACGATGTCGATCGAATTGTCCTCCTTCATCCTTTTTCTATCGATTAATTATTTGTGCCGTCGTGCAATTTTGCTACTTATTTTCCGTTCACCGCGGACTAAATCCTTTTGGGATAATCGTCGAAATAGTATATAGTTAGTCAATTTCCCTTTCGCGTCGACGAAATATATTACGGTACTTTCTAGCTTACAACTTGCTTTGCATATATTTCCAGAATTTATTTAAATAATAATGTTGCGTAATCGATATGTAACGTCAACTATATGTATTGTCTCAAAGCACAACCGAATAAAAATAACGCGACATTGACCTAGTAAACTCGCGTGTTACGAGTGTTACGTGTGATAAGAGAATCTCCGATACTCTTAATTATAATCTTTTAAGCTCTTTGAGCCCGCACACTGTAAATTAACGTCAGCTGATATTAAAGGGATAGTGCGAGGCTATTAAATATATATATAGAATTATTATTCTTCTAGTTAATTGATAATTAACTGTCTCAAGTAGCAATTAATTAATAATTTATTTAAATTAATAAGAATATTTTTTCATGTCTACAATATAATGAAAATTATCTATACATTTTTATACACAGAATATCTTAAAATTGTTATGTGTGATTGTTTTCGCTGCACATTTCGAATAAATTTTTTTCTTAATAAAAACCGACTTAATAAAGGTAATTAAAAAAACATTCCCTGGTTCCAGAATACTCAGTATTACTATTTACCTGGCGCATATTGTATTCTCAACGAGTTCGGTTGATACGATTGTCAAAAGTCAGACATTGACGACGCCAGGCACAACTCTCTGAAATGCGTAATTTTTTTTACAGTTATGCGCTTGCGGAATTTTGGGTGCGGGCCTTTGGCTGCGGTTGGCTTATTCCGGATATGCGACCTTGGTGCCGCAGTACAGTTTTGCATCAGCGGATTCGATGCTGCTCGCCGCGGGATGCGTCACATTCGTCATCGCCTTCTTCGGATGCTGCGGCGCGTGGTTTCAGTCTAGATGCATGCTGATCACGGTTAGTACAACGTGATGCATTGTAAAGCGCGTGTGTCTCGCAAGTACATATATTATAGTGTCCACGAGAGACTCGGAAGTCGTATGACTGGAGTATCTTTTGTTGCTCCAAGAAAGATCAACAAATTTATGCTATCTGGAATAATTTCATACAGACCGATGCATATTTTTTGGCTTTCTCTAATACATTGTTTTGTAAATTTTCTTCTATTTTCGAAATTAATTTTTTACATTCCTTTCATGCTCGTTAAATTCGTCGTGTAATGTAACGGATCGATAAATTTGTTTGTGTATACGTGACCGTGTATGCATAATGTACAGCAACCTGATTTCATAGGATATGAAGTTAAATGCGTGAAATGTAAATGAAGTAGCTGGATGTTAGATGTAATCAAAGTTAATATCCATAAAACATAAATTTTGTTGTAAAAAATTAAAAAAAAAATCTCTACTGTCGATTCTCTGTAATTCTGAAAGTGAAAAGTGACGCACCTTTTGATTTTCAGTATTTCAGTCTTGTGATACTCATGTTTCTCGCCGAGTTCATGCTGGGAACTTTGGCGTTCGTGTTCAGGGAACACCTCGCGAGAAGCTTGAAGGAGGAATTATTGTACGGCATTGAGAAGCATTACAATATCACTAGAGAGCCAGGAACTCTCTCCGCCATGTGGGACCACATACATACGGAGGTTGGCATGCTCAATTAAAATTATCATTCATAAAACCAGTAATAGTTAATAGCAGTAACGCAGTATTTTATGTTGCGGATTTCTCAATTTTCCCATTTATATTATTTCCTATTTTTGCACTGCAATGATTTTTTATGGCAGCATCGAATACTTTTTTTTATTGTATTTAAAAAAATTTCCTTTCTATTTTCTTTCAGGCAGAGAAAAATTATTTTGGATACCTGTTTATTAATAGATAAGAGTTTATGTCAAAAATAATTTAATTAAATAAAGTATTATTTAATTAAATATTATATATATATATATATATATAAAATATTTAATTATATATATATTCTAATAACATCATATACACTCCTCAAAATAATTAAGGGATCAAAAAATGGTCCAAAAAGGCAAATTTTAAATAACTGTAACTTTGTTTTGAAAAATGATAATTTAAATTCTAAAAAAGAATTTTAAAGCTTGAAATCTCTACTTTTAAAACGTTATAACTTTTTTCATTTTCTTCAATTCTGATCATTTTTATATACGGAAAACGACAAACATGACGAAATAGAAAATTTTATCCTACTTTAAAGACATGTCGCATATACTAGAAAACTTGAAAAAATTTTTTGACATTTTAACGTTAAGGCCTGAAGTTTTCCCTGTAAAATCATTTTTTTAAATTTAAATTTCGATCTTTCCTTATCAAGTTATCGTAAATTGAAGAAAAAATGTCATTTTCACTTTAATCGTTCATAACTCTGTTAAAAATTATTGTACATCAATTTTAAGAATGGATTCTTAAAGCTGAATCTTTGCTCTATAGTATGATATAGTGACTGAATTTTTTTTAACTTGTGAACTATTTAGAAATAGGTGAAAAGAACGAAGAAATTCGTGAGTTTTCTCCCTTTTGTTTAAACTTTGAAAAAAAGTTACGTAAAGTGACTAAAAAAATTTTATTCTAACAATCTTTTAACCACCTCAACATAAAATGTATAAAATGTAAAGTTACATATCATGTCCAAAATTTCCGACATCAGCTTCACTTAAAGAACAAATCCAATTGTACAATCTCCACGTGGTGCGCTTTGAGGCTGATGTCGGCGGTAATTTTAAAAATGTCAAAAAATGTTTTCAAATCTTCTTGTGTCTGCAAAGTGAGAAGAAAATATTCTATTTCGTTATGTTCGTCGTTTTCTGTATATAAAAATATCAGAATTGAAGAAAATGAAAAAAGCTATGACCTTTAGCTATTTAAAGTTTGACTATTTTTTATCCGTGAATTATTTTGAGATATATATATAATAAAATAATTGAAAATTTCTTATTATTAAAATGTAATAATATTTGAAGCGTTACAAAAGGCGTTAGGAATAAACGTAAATGCTTTCAGTTTCACTGCTGCGGAGTACGCGATTACACGGATTGGTTCCAAATCGAGGCTTGGCCCGAGGAGGACCGGGTGCCGGATTCCTGCTGCGTGCAGCGAGAACGATACTGCGGTCGTCTAGATCCGGAGGGTCGCAATAAGGAGCTCTGGTACAAGGAGGGATGCTCGAGCGCGCTGCAGATGTGGCTGGTCACCAGACTCCACGTGGTGGGCACCGTGGGCCTCGTCGTCGCTTTCCTTCAGCTGTTCGGCCAGGTGGCCAGCATGATCCTCTTCTGCACGGTCAGGCACAAGAGGTCCTCCCACACGTATAAGAGCTACGACACTACCAATTCCTAGAATTTCCGATCGATCTTGGACGAGACCACCGTCTGAGATCGATGCAACTTCCTCGCGAGTGTCTGATTCTCGTTCCACGCAGCGGGAACGAATCTTTTCGGAATCGTCGGAATTGATCCTTCTTCGACGACTTTCGCGGAAGATCCCTGCTTTTTGATCCGAATCCGCAGATATTTGTGAAAATAATAAGCGATAACGAGCTGTAAACGCAAAGATTTGTTGAAAAGAATTCTGAGCAAAAGCATAAAACGAGATTACATTATTAATGATTATATATGTGTTAAACATTACTCTAATTAAATATATTTTACGTACGAGGCACTTTAAGCAAACAAAGACACGTTGAGGTTTTAGCTGACCAAAAAGTTTCCGCTGTGTACCAAAAAATATGATAAGTATTTAATTGATGGTTTTCCTTCTTTTAGCGTGAATAATGATAATGTTTCTTGCAATCTCCGGTGATTAATATCGCGATTTCTCGCTGTCAGATTTTATGTCGATTGATAAATAATTATTTATATTCTTGTAAGCGTAAGCAACAGTATCACATCCGTGGATCCTTTTTAATCAATATTTATAGATAGTAGTATAAGTAATATCTGGCAGCAGGAAAATTAATTTGTATGTGAGAATAATTTATATAGTGACATGAGAGATAAAAAAGCGCGCGTGTGTGTGTGTGTGTGTGAGAGAGAGAAAAAAGCGAGCAAGAGAGAAAGAAAAAGAAAAGATCGAATCTATAATCTTGATCATTAAATTACAATTTTCCTATGTAACAAGTTTATTCTGCTTTAATAGTGATGGAGATGATTCTAATCGACATACTCAGTATTCATTCGCGAATAGTAATCACTCTCCACTTTACGATAACTAATTGTACGCCGCATCGATTCTCGACGTTAATAATTTGGGTACAATTAGATAGATAGTAGGTAAATAGTGCATGATTATGTGATTTAGTCTCTCGAGTACTCAATAGAGATTATAGATTATTATCAAAGTATCTTCAATGTCAAAGCATGAATTTATATTAAGATTTTATATTCAATATATACATGCATAAAGAAAATTAAAGTAAAATCTTTCTCATATGTGTACACTGAATCACCGAAGCAAACGGTTGAATATATTAAATATATATATAAATAAAAAAATAATAAAATAAGTGTTGACAGTTATACAATGAAGAATCGAAATGACAAAATGACAAACGACAGTAATGTATTACGAGTGTATCAAATATAAATTATTATTAGCAATAAATAATATATTTATATGATGATATATGATTATTATTTTATTAATTTTGACTTCTCCATTTCGCGACTAAAAAAATCAATTAAATTGCCGTAACTAAATATTGTATGACAAAAATTTTGAATTTTTTAATTTTTTCGTATTTTACTTACCAGTTATTATTTAACAGATTTTTTCAATGCTATTAGCTTAAGAAAAAAAAATTAGAGAAACTAGAACACTTAGTTATTCATTCGAATTATATTGTAGAATATTTGCTCCTAAACTAAACGTAATTAAACATAAATAAAATATATAATATTTTCATTTCAATTACGTTGTGTACGATAAAATCTCGATATATTAAAATTCTTTACAGCATAGTTGCAGATCGCATTGTATTTATTTTATGTAATCGAATGTTACTTATTTGCTTATCTGCTAATAGACGGAGTAATTATTTCTATGTTCGCGTGTCGTCGTATAATAAAATGTGAAGAAAGACGCAATTTCGCACGACCTCGGTATATATATTTAAACTTTAACGTATCGACGATGAGTCAACACTGTAATATCGGCAGTGTTCACTAGCAGAATTATTAATAATTATGCATATAATAAAATGTGACGTCATTTCACAACTTTCTGTTATATGTAGATAATTAATAAACAAATTCGCAACTATATAATAAAAAGCGATACTTATTTTGCAATTTCTTAATTATATCAATTATTTGAACTTGTAAATCTCTTCGATTTTAACAAAAACGCGACCTTTTCGAGATAAAATAGAAAAAATTAAACGGTGATATTTCCGCAACAATGATTCTTACGAAGATAAGTCAAAAAATGAACTTGTGGATCTCGTCGATTTTTACAAGCTTGTCCTCTGTATTTTTGGCATAAAACGCTGCTTCTTCAAGATTAAAAAGAAAAAATTAAACGACCGTATTTCCGAAACAATAAAACTTATGAAGAAGTATCAAAGTATGATTTGTAAATCTTGTAGATTTTTACAAAATTACTCTTTGCACCTTTGCCTTTTTTGTTATTTTTTTTAGAAATTGACTTAACATGCCTTTTTTTAGAAATGGAATGGAATAGAATATAGGATTTTTTATAGAATTTTATAAGATTTTGATTATACCCCAAATTAACATTTTCATTAAAATATTTATTACAATAACATAATTGGAGAAAATACATTTTCAAATTAATAACAGAATTGCAGTAATATATCTTTTTTATATGGTATATAGGTAAAAAAATTTAACAATATATTACACGTTGATATTAAATAAAAATGTAAAACTTTACTTTGCAAGATAATTAGTATAACGTTTATATTTAGAGCAAAATCTTTTTACATATTGTTAAATTATATTGCTGTAGAATATTTAATTTATAATTCTTAATATTAAAATATAGTTATAACCTTCTTAATATTAAAATATAGTTATAACCTGTATGATTGCTTCTTTTACTGCTTTCCTTATCCAAAGATCTTATTGCTCATCAATCTTATTACAGGATTTATTGGGATAGGGTATTTTACCCTATTCTCATATATTTTGCATAACTACAAATTTCAAAAAATTTATGTATATAAAAAGATAGTATTAACAATTTATATATAATACTATGCATGCGATAAAATATTTAATTATGATATTAATAAGGTACTACTTGAGATATTAATAAGATTAATATGTATATAAAATATAATTTTTATCATTAATTATACTACGTTAGTAAGTAGTAATAATATAAAAATTTTATATTATTCATATTATAGTATTAATTATATATATCTATATAAGTATATAAAATAATATTAATAATATTATGTTATTTAAACATGAGTTACACATGGTAATTGAACTTTGCGGCAATTTTAACAGAAAATAGGATATTTTGCGAGTTGTCTGAAAAACATACTCACAAAATTCTTATGTAATTCAAAATTAATTTTTATTTTATAAAAATATTGAAGTATATATTTTAAATATAATTTTTAAATTATAAACAATTGACAAAAATTGTATGTCTTGCAAATTAAACTTGAAGAAATGAGTAGACTTGTAATAAAATATTACTTTTTTATTTAGTTTTAAATGTTTTTATTTTTATAAATCTTAATTTTAGTAATTACAATTAATAACAAATTATAAAATAATAGTAAAATTAAAAAAACAAAAAGTAATAATCATATTTTTGTTTAAAAATATTAATTTGTTCTTTAAAAAACAAAAGTCATCGAATTATCATAGATTTTATAGAGAAACTGATCTTTTATATAAAAACTGATTAGTAAAATATTTCCGCGTTCTGTAGTTATATTTTTTATACTTCTTAACGATATTTCTTGTATTTTGAAAATTATTATTAGTTATACTTATTGTTGGATATATTATAATTACACTTACCATACATACCCAAGAATTTTTTAGTACATCACATGCCATATAACGTACGAACATTATTGTTAGTTCATAGAAAATATTATTCGTACCTAAAGTATTATTCGTACCTTCAAAGCAGATTGAGTATTTCATTTAGTATACCTTTTCTCTTTAGGTGTAAAATTTAGATATTGTCAAATATTTTATATTAGTAACTTAGATAGCAGATACTAAACGATTCTCGAAAGTGAAGAAACAACTTTACAAATAAAACATAAGAGCTCTAAATAAATTTTATATTTTATATTTATAATTACATGAATCTTTAGTCGTTAATCCAGTGTTTTCATTGTCATATTTTTTTTTATATCGCTCGTAATAGGCTCCGTATCTGGTTGTTTTAATGAAGGTTTTAAGGTTTCCGATTCAATTACCGAAGACTAAAGGAAAAAAATTATTAATTATCTTTATGTTTATTAATTCCAATTAATCATTTTTTCTATATAAAAAAACTTATTAAATTGAAATTTTTTAACTGAAAATATTCTAACTAATACGCCTCGTCTATTAATCTTTATTTTATAAATAAAAAGATCTATAAAATAAAAAGAAATAAATAAATTCTATAAAATAAAAGTCTAATATTTTGTATTAATCTAATATTATATTTTTTAAATTTTGTAGTTCGAATTTTTTAAATTTCTCTAATAAATTTTGTTCTAATTATTATTTTTATACTAAATATATTTTTGATACTAAATCATTATTATTAAAAAAATTAGTTTCTTTATAATTTTCTTTTAAAGTTTTTTTACTTACTTGAAGAGTGTCTCGAATCGAAGTAAATAAATCATGGATTTGTTTTGATGTATCCTCAGCAGCATTCTGGCAATATAATGATAAAAGTGATTTATAATGAAAAAAATATTTTAATTATTATATATTGTATAATGCAGCAAAATGTACGACATATACATATTTGATATGTATTTGGCTTACTTCTTTGAAAACACTTCCGATGAGAAACAACAATAGAAATGTATATAAACGCATCGTTATATCTAAAAAAAAATACCACACAATTTGACAATACTAAATTTGTTTTAGGAAACAGTATTTTTATTTTTCGTATAAAAGTAAAACTCGTGGAAATAGAATTCTAAAATATTTTGACAAACTGAATTTTTTAACGTATTCAGAACTTCCTTATAAGAGAAAACTATATCTTATCATTCGTTCAAAAATTATGCTAAAATATAAAGTCATCATTATTAAATGCTTAATTGAAGTCAATTTTGATATCAGTATGTTTATGCATGTGTGCATATGCATTTTTTGATGGATTCTCAAAACACAAAACGTATTCGTGGAATTACATGACATTTTATTAATTTATGTACATTTCTTGTAATTATAATTATATTATATAATTACTTCAATACAATGATCTTTATTATTCGAGTCCAATCAGCCGTTTACCAAATTGATCCAATATTTGGGTTACTGCTCGAGAAGTTTGTTTGGCAACATTATAAGGGATCTGAAAACACGCAATTTAATTGTTCAAATGAAATAATCGAAAGAAGCAATAATTCAATTTCTTCAAATTTTGTCGTTTTGTGTCGCTTCAATATATCAATTACTTTACAGGATACTTACGTTTACTAGTGTGCTCAAAGAATTTGCGAGATTTTCAAAACCTTTGACGACCACGTTCCCGAGTCCGCTAAATTTATCCCCGTATTACCGTATTTTTCCTCCTCCTTAATTCCATCGACAATTGGTTTAGGTGTCAGAAAATTATTAAACGCTTGTCTGATGCCATCAGGCTTTCGTTTTTCTAAAATTGCCTGCTCGGTGTCATTTTCTAAACGAACTGTTTCTCGCGTAGACGGATGAAACAAGATTAACGGTGTTGTGCTTTGCACTGATCTGCGGCTCTGATTAGACTCGTCCAACTCGATAATTACTGGAGCAACGTTATTCTGAACTCCGCTAGTTAATTGCTATAAAAGAAAAATTATATATGCTCTAAAAGTTTTCCAAACAATTTGTTATTTGACAATAATTAAAATCAATAGCGAAAATGAAAAGAAAATGCAAAAGGACAACATATAAGTCTAATGTTTGTTGCATTAGTCGGTTAATACACAGATGTGACGTTGTTTTATTTACAATAGAGCTTCAACTACTTTTTGTCTATCTTCATAATTCAGCATTACCGATTAAAAATATTTGGTTAATCTAACTGTAATAATACGATTTTTTGTATACTAGTGAAGAAATATATATTGCATGAGATTCTGTATGCATATAATCGATCATAAAGAGACATTATTAGAAAGATTCGATAGATATAATAATTACCTCCGCTCGATTGACAACGATGTTTCTGACCAATATTATCGAATTGATAAATCTTCCTGCAACGATTCTAAACGCATCAGCGACACGTCCTAACAATTCCTACAAAACAGTAATTTTGACTTCGCCTTTTCCGGTAAAACTGGCGATTCACGAAAATCCAAATAAAATTTCGTGCAGCGCAATTGAGGAATCTTTTACATAGATTTTTCGATTAATTTAGATTTCTTCATCTCTTCAAACGTCGATAAAAAAATAATTTGTCCACGTGCCGTTTTCTTATGTCAATTGTGTTTTCCAAAAATTGCATTTTCATATATTTTCGCAAATTAAATATTCAAAAAATTTACCTTTGCATCCTCCAATCTTGACGGTACAATGTTGTTTTCTGCATCATTTTGCATGTTGTTGAGAATAAATTTTGTCGGTTCATCCGTAGGATGAGCACTCAATGAGTTTAAAAAGCAGATAAGCGATAGAAATATTACAATGCGCAGCATATTTGTTTATTTATAGTATATATAAAAGTTCAAGTTAATTTTAAAACTGAAGAAGAGTTTTAAACACACACGCACGTGCACCAAAGAGCAGTTGCACTTATAAATATGTTAATCGGAATAATTAACATAGAAGCTAATTTTGCAGCTAATTTACTTTGACAATTAAATAATTGTTAAGTAAAAAGTTTTAAAAACACATGGCACGTTTCTATAAAAGTTTGTCACTATTGAAGAGCGAACAGTCGACTAACAGATTTCGCTCACGATGACGATCTTACTTACTAGCTTACGACACTGTATTACTTTCTCTTTCGGTATGCTTCTTCATATTGGAAATCGCATGCGCATACGTGTAGCAATTTAAATTAAAATTATCATTGAAATCCTTGACACTATTAATATTCAAAAAACAAAAATATATTTTTAGATTAAAAAACTAAATATGTAAAGTAATAAATAATTTATATTACATAAATACATATTAAGATTGGTTTATTAAGATTAACAATTATGTCGTTAACTTATAAAATTATTAATAATGTAAAATACAATATAATAACAATAATATACATCTTAAAATTAAGATTTAGAAAGACAGGGCCAACTATAACGAGCATATTAAATTAGTGAGAGATGTAATGTCAACACATAATTGATTTATTTCTTAGTAGATACAATGATAATAAAAATAATAAAACGTTTCGGCTACATCTTAAATGTGACCAGTAATATTACATCAGAATTATAATTGGTCTGATATGTTGCAATCTCTGATCTGGTCATTTACATTTTGTAACTGGTACACGAACATAGAAAATAAATAATAATATTCTGGTAAAAAATGAAAAATAGCGACAAAGTTGAATTTTGAGTTTTAATAATTTATTAATATGTGTCTATCATATTTTCCATTATTTAGAATTACAAGCTATAAAAATTAAGCCACATTATTTGAAAACAAAAATCGTAACGTACTAATATTAATTTTTGAAAAATTGTCTATGATTAAGTTATGCAATTCCGTACATTATATGACATATTATATTCATATGCATTAATATATTTTTATATTAAATAACATGTAGCGCGGAAAGAAATAAATGTGATAGACATGTAAAAAATGCGGGATTTTGTAATATTCTAGTAACCAGAAATAAAGTAAGGTAACGAAGTTTTTAAATAATATAATTAAGATCGCATTTTATTAATTATTACTATAAGTAGAATATCATCGTCATTTGCATACCGTAATCATTATGATGAAACAATGTCTTAAAAGCTGCAATAGCGTTATCCATTTAAGTATGATTGGCAAGTATAATGACTCAAAATGAAGTTCTTGTGTGATATAAAAAAATGTATCTATAAATACTATTATTATTCAAGGTTGGCTAAGTATATGTGCAAAAAATATAATGGATCATTTTAATAAGCAGATTTCGTTCTTAATAGAAATTTGTTTTAATTGAGATTTATTGTATGTATTAATTATATGTCCAATTATTACGTACGAAATTTCTCGAATAAAAATAATTTATTTTATCTCACTGTGTATTTGCATTCATATATAGTCATACAATCATTTTTCGATTTTTAATATATTATACTTTTCTTCGTTATAATTATCTTCATTTTCCTCTTATCATTTTTCTTCTCTTTTGCTCTTAAATTCTTCGTTAACGTTAACATGCTCAGGATTTACAATATTCTTCTGTATTTTCTTACTTCTTTACAATTACGTTCATTGTTTTATTACTTAATAATAGTAAGTAATTTTCTAATAAAGTAATTTTCTTATTATTATTGTCTGCTATTTTATCTTCCGTAACAATCGATTTTATCTCTTTCGATGCTTTCATATAATAATGCAGTTGTGGTTAATAACGAACGTTTTATAACGATTATATTTGTGGTTTACGCGATCCATATTAACAATGAGGCAACAAGTAAATATCAATTTCTGATGAAACATTGAAACTAGTATTTTGTAATTTGTGTACTACGCATGCGAATAAGTAATATGTAAACAGTAAAATAATAGAATAAAATTCAGGAGAATATAAATAATTCGTGTCAGAAAACGAATTCTTCTTCTCGTATAAAAGTATCCTTTATTGATGCACCTTCTTAAAATGACTCGCAGGATGAGGAACAAAGAAATACTATCGCAATATGTGAAATTACCTAGCTGGAATTACAATTTAATCACGTGCAGAGAACCGCAAGATGGACATCACGCGTGTGCTTGGCATTCGTAAATAAGGCGGAGTAAACATTTACAAAAGAGGCTGAATGTATATATGCAACGAAACATTGAACGCTAACGAAATATATATATTCGAATCGGAAGACCTTGCGAAAAACGTGGCTCACGATCTTCGCTCGTGGATATTTTATATATTGCGCGATTATATTAGTGTGTATATCTTCGAATGTAAAACTTATATAAGGACGGACGCGCTAAAAGTCTCAGCCGGCGTTGTTTCTCAGCAATTGATTAACAGCGGACAACGTAGAAATTGGAATCTGAGAAGAGAGAAAGTAAGTGGCTCATTAGAAACTCCGTGAATTCTTATGCGTGATGCAACGCTTGCGAGATGATTATACGAATAAGCATTCGACTTACGTTGAAGATGTCATCGAACAAGGATCCGCCGACATAAACTTTGCCCGCCGTACCGCTTTTGACAATTGCACCCTCACTGTCTCCCACTGAATTGACGAAGAGTTCGCCGACCACGTCCGAAGGCGAGTCTTGAGAATCAGCTGTCGCGGTTGGAGGAACGTAGACTACTTTATTCCTAGGACCGGTCCGGAATCTCTTCCTCAAGTACCAGCGTGGATACACGGGTTTCGTAATCACCACGCTCGGATTATTATCTGACAAATGATCAAAATTGTCTCATGAAATATATCATTTAAAAACGCGATCAGATAATTAAGCTCACATTTTTACTGTTTCAATAATTTAATATTTCTTCGAGGAAGGAATTTATTGTATTATTAAATAAAGTCACTTCTTTCTCCCCAAATGTCAGAATTTTGACAATTGTTTGAAAACACTCTTCCAAACAATAATTCAATTAAAATAAGATAAATATTGTCTATAGTGTACACAATTATTCGAGTTTGTAGAAAAATATCAATTCAATATTAGCTCAGATAATATGACATAAATAGACACTTGCTGGTGCAATATTGGTTTCCATCACTGAAAAAAATGTTTGCGAATAAAATCTCCGGTCGAAAAATTATAAAGTACTCTTCAACCTTTATAAAAAAATGTAATTAAATATGTCTATACATATATTGGAAAATTCAAAAGACGTAACTGTAAGGTAATTTCAATATAAAAAAATAATTGAGCCTAATTAGCTGAATACGTAAACTGATTGCTCACCGAGTGTCGCAACCGAATTAGCTGGAATCGTCTCTTGCACAGGTACAAGAGGTGCGGCTGGTGCTGTGGGTGCTAAGGCCACGATGCTCTTTTCGACAGATTTGACGACTGGTGCCCCGCTAACCAAACCAACCGATCCGACAAGGCCAACTTCCGTTGCGAGAGGTTTTACGGCAGCGACTTGTATTGCACGTCGTATCTGTTGCAAACGAGAGAAAGAAATTTTAATAATTTGTCTGATTATTCATCGCAATCGCGCTTTGCTCGATAATTTCTTGGCTTTCGTCACCTCATTGTTTTGCGATTCGGCCTTTCCTTCCGCAGCCGCGGCAGCCTCAAGCGCCATCGCCTTCTGCATTTGACAGATTGATTTTAAAGACAGTGTATCATCCACACGCACGCAAATATATGTGTACAAAGATTGCATGTTAGAGAGGAATTATCCCATAATTCAAAATGCGCTTATATAACTTATCGAGCTACTAATTACGAAATTATACGATTATTCTAAGAAGGTGTGTTAGAGAGAATTCTGTGTCAATGAACGTCCTCGAGATTCTCGATATCTTGTTTAGATATCGTATTCGAAACCTAAAAAATTATAATATCGGTTGTATGTGCATCCTTCGCTTATATAATAATAAAAAAAAAATAATCGCAAGAGTTACGTATCGATCGAAACCTCTTTCTCCTTCTGCGCATCCTTTGGTTTCGAACGTATGATCTGTATGTTTGTGTGGCCCTTCGCTGGTTTCGTTACACTGGCAGCTGCATCCGCTGTTGCATTAGTCTCTTTCGTCGTCGTGCCGGATGCACTCGGTCTCACGTTAGTCTCAGCTCCTGCAACTCCTCCGCCAAGAAAGACGCCGGTTCCTGGACCGCCTGGAGTCGCGCCAGCGTACAGGCCGCCGGAAATCGGGTTGACCGATCGTCCGTCCACTCTGCCACCGAGACCGGCCGCCGCTTCCGGTCTTCCACGACCGAGTCCAGCACGAGCGTATAAACCTCCGCCTAAAAATATATCTTATTCTATTTCATTTCTTCAATATTTATACTTATATATTTATATTTATATTTATATTATATTTATATTTATATTATATTTATATTTATATTATATTTATATTTATATTTTTTATATTTATATTATATTTATATTTATATTTTTTATATTTATATTATATTTATATTTTTTATATTTATATTTCTTCGATAAAAATTTTGATATAGGATGCAAAAGGCCTTTCATTAAATATTTTGTTAAATATGTATTAGGTATTTTATTTTGTATTTTATTTGTGACAAATATAAAGAATGACTCTGTCTCCTAGCTTGTCAACATTAATATGATATTTTATTTTTGCGAATACTAACCCAGACCGTTTTCTCCATTTAATGTTCCACCTAATCCCGCACCCGCGTGAGCACCCCATGGGGTTCCAGCACTCGCGTGAAGTCCACCCCCTGTTCCTCGAAAGAGACCACCAAGTCCAGCTTCAGCATGATATCCCGCGAAGTTTACCCGGATTCCACCGTTAGTAAATTGGATAAATGGAAGCTGTGCAATGACAATATAAGTCCTTTATCAGAATCGAAAATCTCTTATCAGAATCCATTTCAGAATTTAGAATTTATTTATAGCATTGGATTAAGAGGAATTATTTTATGTGATTATAAGTGGACATTTTTCTTGCAAATATTCTGTAAATGTTTTTCTCAACGTTATCTGTATTATCTTTTCACACGTCCCATATTTTGTAGATGACAATTTGTAATTAGTAGTTTCCTCCGTCTCGTCTCTACGCCGCAAGACATAAAAACCGATTCTTTTCAGAAATGATTTGCACGCAAGTGTTTTATTCATTACTGACATGTTCCGCCTAAACTCGAGACTAGCTACCGTGACATTGCATGAAGCCATTTTTCCTCGAATATTTTCACGTTGGATATTGCGTAAATTGATCTAAAATAAAAGATAGGACGATGCGCAAAAATATTATCACTTGTTTACGAAATCATTTACATATTTAAGATTAAACGTATAACAATATTACTTATATTTTTATTTATTATTATAAAAATTATATTTCAAAGCTATGCTAAAAATATAATAATCATGGATAAAAAATATAACAATTATTTTAGCTATTTAATCAGAACGTTTTTAATCAGACAGAAAATTTGCGATAAGCGTTATTATTACACTTGAACTTCTTATTTCTTTATTTGTTTTTTACTACATAATTTTCGATGTGAAAACTGTTAAGTTCCATGGTCAAGTTACTTCGGTTTTTACCTTTCAAATCTATAAATAAAGAACATAACTGTCTTGTTTATGTCTTTAGCACACGTTTCTTAATAGCGGTTTTATTCACAAACCGCATATTTTTTCTTCGGCAATTAATTGTGATTGTCATAAATAATATATGCATTTTTTTTTCTTTCATCTTTTATAATTAAGAATTCTCTGAATTATATCGATAAATAATTTGGCTTTATGCAATCTTCTACCATTTCCTTAATCCTTTCTCTCATTACACTGATTATCTAACCAGCTTAAGTATGCTGTGTTTTTCTATAGTATTTCTTTCTCATAATCAAAATAATTGATTTACTTGTTGTCTTTTTTAGATCGCACAAGGTTTCTTTCTAAACTTAATTATCATTCGTGATGACGTTAATGCTACGCAAAATACACAGAATACGATTATTCTCGCCGTTAATGAGAATAAAAAAATTAATTGAATCGCAATTTAATGTATTACACCTGCGCACTGTTTGTCTAAATGTCTTATTACATAAATATAATGTCGCACAAATTATGACCGGTTTGATACATTATATACTAGAGAAACATATAAAAATGTTAATCAAGAATTAATTTAAGCGTTTTTCTATTTGTAGCATCGTTTTTCTATTTGTAATGTTGTAATGTATTTGATTTTGCCGTCATCTATTGCCAGCAACATGTATATTTCACATAATTGTTTTATTCGAATGCAATAAACGATAGATTTCATGAGAAGCAATTTTTTATTTCAAATCATTTAAAACTGTAAATGCATATATAATGATAGCTTTGTTGTCCATCATACACATTATAGTATCTTAGTATACATACAACATCACCAAATTAATTTTTTTTCCATAATCTCATAATCAATTATAAAAGCCAAGTTGCATTTGGTTATATAAAAAAATTACGAAATATATATATATCTTTACATAACTGGCAGTATACAAATTTTGTTTATATCTCTCATTCTATAATCACGCTCTCACTTTCTTTCGCGAGATAGATAAATTTATATAAAAAGTACAAGTCTTATAATTGACGAAATAAAATAATAATGACAAATTCAAACGAGGCAAACTTGTTCTACTCACCAGTGCAGGTGATTCTGTACTCTGTGTAACCCCATCCTGCGGCATTCCGTTTGCCAGAGCTACGAAAGCGATAAGCAAGCAGTTAGCTACCTTGCCGAACGACATCTTTGCGTTCACTGACGAAGGATCGAGGCTACTAGGCAGGTAGACAGTCATTTCTCGGCCTGACCGGAGGGCATCTCTTACTCACCTTACTCACCTGCTGGAAGGGGTAAGCTCGAGATCCGTATCGCTCGTTTGACGAACTACGAATCTGCTTGTCGAACTAGAATGCGAATGGTGCAGAGTCCACTTGATTTACGTATTCCTCGAACGTTTCAAATGAGTAATATTTTAATTAGCTGTTTTCGAGCAGGTATAGGTTGATTAATCGTGTAATTTGAATAAAAATTATTCCATTCACGCAGACAATCGTCCATTATTTAACTCTTTGGAAAAATAATATTCCCACAAAGGAAGAATTTTTTTTTAATAATTTTTATATTTGCATAAAGTTAAAAATCTCTGTTCTTATATCATTCTTAGCATTCAAGGATGTTTAATTTAAAATTATAATTTATTGTAATAAACTTTATATTATTTTCTTTTTTGTTTGTTTTAAAGCCATGTAAGTTTGTTTGATTTCATATACGATACGTACGTAATGCTGGAAATTAAAATCACTATTACATTGCAAAATTGAAGAAAACATTCAAATTTACTTAATTGTAATCAAATGTAAGCTGTTAATTCTGTCCGACAGTCTTCACATAATAATGATGAATAAATGCAATCTAATTGAGCTAATAATGAATATTAATACCGATAATAAAAATTAATATTATACAATAGATTTATGCTATAGTACAATGCACGCACACACAAATATAAATATTCAATACACTCAATAATTTTTTTGTATAAAACATTTGATTAGAAAAATTATTTGTATTATAATTATTTATATTATATATAATTAATTTTATTTCAAATCGCAATATTCAAACCACACAATTCATACGTACTGATTTTATTATATGGAAATTTTTCTTTTCTGCTATATTTTTGATAACATATGTTGATTTTATAATTGCACAAAGAATATCGATTGAATGAACCACGAACGTGACAATTCCACGACTTGCGAAAGACTATCGAGACTGACTAGACTATCAAGTATTATATAAACAGCCGCTGTATAACGTCAGAGGTCAATCTATTGCTATCTCACTGGATTACATGTTTTTGCCATTTAATTAAAACAGTAATTTAAATATTCTTTATCGTTTTTATTAATTATTTTGATTACAATAATTATTTAAAAATTAAGACTACAGCAAAATAAATTTAAATTAAAAATTTAATTATATTTAATAATTTATAATGTTTTACGCATTTAAATTTATAATTTTTTTTCACACATTTGTTACAATAATTAATATACAGCTAAATAGTATTTTTTTTAAATGGCGAGCCTTTAGAAGGTCTGCCCGCTTCTTAGAGAAGAAATAATATAGGATTCTCTATTAAATCATCCAATATAAAAAAAAGAGAATCTCAAAAAGGAGGAGGGCAATTACTTTAAATTCCCTCGCATAACTGAGTCTGCTGTATTTCCATAAATTTAAAATTTATATGTAATATATATACATATGTATTATATTAAAAAAACGATGTAAATCTGAAAAAAATTGCGTTATCCAAGTGAGCATAAAACATGCGACATGTGAGTTTCTTATTACAACGCAAAAATGAAGCGAGTGTTCGACGAAGGTCAAAGGTATGACTTCATATTAACTCTTTGTATATTCCGTAAAATTCCATGCTTATGATTATACCTATTGAGATTTCTAGTGGAATATTTTTCACGATAAATAAATAAAATTAAATTGAAAATTGTGCATTAGTGTATATGTAGATATATGCTAAAAGCATTTTATATTACTATCTAAGCATATTTGTTTTTATCTCAAAGATTCGAAGAGAGAAAGAAATAAAGATTCGCGATTGTTTGATTAACGGAAATCATAATAGCATTTTTTTACAATTATTCTCTTTCATATTCACTACATTGATTTAAAGTGTTGTTCAATTGTTAAATAAGATGAGTTTATATTGTAGTATTTGTCATTTGTCATATATGAATCTTCAATACTTCGAATTATTAAGAAATATTAAATCATCCGATGTATAATTCATTCTAATCATGATGACTCAATTACTGTTTTTCTTTAATATATAAAATTGTTTTACCAATAAAAAAGAAATTAAATGTTAGCTAAGTGTTTCAGAGAAACATCGATAAAATATATTTCTATAAGAAATCATATAGCAAAACTTATATTTTCATTGATTTAAATAAAACAAGAAGTTAAAAACAAAAGGAAATATTTGCAAATATAATGTACATATAAATTATGTAAATTTTATATATTTTTAATAAAAAAAATATTTATTTCTGTAATACGTTACATCGATTATTATATTATTATTATTATTATAAATATTTTTATTTGTTAAATATATTTTTAATTTATTATAATATATAAATTATTTATTATATATAAATATTTTGTTAATTTAATTTAATAGATTTAATGAAATTGCATATTCTTACGGAGATTTTTTATGCTAAAGATAAACGCAAGCTGTAATATCTGCAGAGCGATGTAAGAATGGCGAATGCTTATCGATTATAACTAACATCATGTTTCATATTTACATTACTATCGCACAAATGCCACTTTGCTGTTTCTCGGTGCAATTTTATTTTCTATTAGCGAATCATCATCATATTTATGTATCGGCTTATTTTTAATCTTCGTGATTTTATTTTGGATATTTACGTCAATGCTTGGGTATTCGGAAACTTTTTGTCTTTTTTCGTAAGGAGCAATCTTGTTCTCGACTTTAATGGCTGAATGGCTACTAGAAGGCCGAGTTCCATGAAAGCTACCGAATCCAGCTGTCAACCCATGCCAGGAGAAAGATGTATCTTCATTAATATCTTCATGGACCTCGTAGGTATGTTGCGGGCGATTTCCTGAAAGAGAATTTACCTTTAATCAGAGAGAGTGGCAAATGATAAAAAATAATATATTCTTATTCGTCTAAATATATCGCGATAGCTTTGATAGTAATGTGTTTTACATTTTTTGCAGTGAAAAAATGAAAGCAGCGAAAATAATCACCGTGATTGCCATGAATGCCATGAATGCCATGGCCACCATGGCCATGAAATCTGCGAATGCCATTTAACCCAGAGTGATGACCACCGAGAAGGCCACCGTGATGGCCACCAAGCAAAATGTTGCTCCACGCGTTTAATCCGAATGGATCTTTGTGATAATGCCTGACAACTCTGATAACTTGCGATTCTTGATTTTGCATTTCCTGTTTTCGCTTTCTCTTCTGTTCCTTAATGGCCATCAACCGTTTTCTTCTATCTTGAAGAGAATTTTGAATTCTCTCCGCATTTTGCTGTCTTTGCTCCGTCGTAGTTTTACAAGGGTACCGACAGCTTCTAGAGTCGAGACGGGAATCTGTAAATGATTTTACTTATAAAATCGTATAATCAATGTTGTTATTGAATGTGAATAATTTTGAATATACATTACCTTCACAATATTATCGATTCTCTGTGAATTCTCTGGGTAAAAAGCTTGAGCGGCGGCGGCAGTTTGTTTGATCGCTGTGATCGGAATCTGCAAGATAGAATTTAAAAAAAATATATATATATACACAACTCACTCCAAAAAAGTGGTATACTTAAAATTTGGAAAAAATCACCAAATTTCAAATGACGATAACTTTGTAAATTATAAATATAGAAAGGTTTCTAAAAATGAAAATAAAGCTTGGAATCTCTACTTTAAGAATCTATTTATTTCAATGTAACGAGATAAATTTATTAAAATAGCGGATGATAAAACGAGAGCATGCAAAATGAAAAATAATGGTCCGAGTTGCCAAGGCGCATGATGTGAGTCAATGTCACAACTCAATGGGATAAAAAGCATATGATAGTACAGAGTCTCCCTTTAAAATGCTTTTTATTCATCTCGATACAATGATTTTTCGCCGAGTTATTCGCATTTAAAGTAAAAAGCTGCTTTTTATTCAAATGCGAATATCTCGGCGAAAAATATCGTATTAAGATGAATAAAAAAGCATTTTAAAGAAGAGACTCTATACTATTATATGCTTTTTATCCCATGAGTTGCGACATTGACTGACGCCATGTGTCTTAGCAAACTCGGACCATTATTTTTCAATTTTGCACGTTCTCGTTTTGTCATCTGCCATTTTTAATAAATTTATCGTGCAACATTGAAATAAATAGATTCTTAAAGTAGAGATTCCAAGCTTTATTTTCATGTTTTAGAAACTTTTCTATCTTTATTATTTACGAAGTTATCGTCATTTAAAATTTGCTGATTTTTTCCAAATTTTAAGTGTACCGCTTTTTTCGAGTTTAATACTAATATTATATTTATATTTAACTGCCATTTTTTTCTCTCTTTTCTGTCTGTGAAAAAATATAAATTATCAAACTACCTTTAGAGATATTTAAAGAGAGATATTTATTTTTTTTAAACATTTTTTTAAGCTTATTCAATAATTGATTTTAATGGATCAATATTTACTGGATGAAAAATATTATATTTACGTTAAAGATGTTATCTATCAGTTGACCATTTTGTGCGAATGAATTCTGGCGTCGTACTCTGCTCTTCAAGACTTCCTGAGGTAGAGAAGGGGATAAATCTCACTTTCTTGGATAATAGCGTAAAAATACTTCCGGCATATCATTTTGCTCCCGCATTTAAAGACGGGAAATTACGCGGATTGCATACAAATTTCTTTTCCGAGATAGATAAATGCGACCCACGTGCACTTCAGTTTGCCATAAGACATTGCATTTAATTGCAAATGTATATAGAAGATCACATAAGTCGCTGCAGGCGAATCTGATATCTAGATTTTATCGCAGCTTTCACTTTTTGCGAAATAAAAATATCGAATGGTCTTCGTCAATTATTATTAGAAAGATGAATTCACGTTACTGCAATTTTTATTTCGGTCTTTAAGAGCGAGATCAAACTACAATCATTAAAATATGTACACGAAAAATTTTTACACGAGTAAAATTTCGGCTTCAAGTCTGTCATCACAAAAAATAAAAATAAATTAAAATATAATAATATTAGAAACAATAAAAAATATAATGTATATTATTATATAACGAGAAAAATGACATTAATTTTAATGATTATCGAAGCATTATTACATAAAGAATTAAATGCTATTTATAAAATTTATATGCTATAAAATACATAATTAAAATTCGTGACATTTAAATGTTTATCTTACTTTATGATTAATGCGTTAAATAACTTACGCCATATGCAACATTGCAAAATAGAAGAAAGCTGAAAAATCCGCAACGCCAAAACATCCTTTCGATATCTCTCGCAGCAAATTGCTTATAATTCTGGCTAGGACTCCCAGCTAGTTTCAACACAAGTCGACGTACGATTGAATCGTGGACCCGCTTGACCGATCTATAAGGGCTGCCATGAGATCCCACACAAGGCGTCGACCAATCGGGCTTAAGGATTTCACGATTTCCTCGGAGGAAGAAAAAAGAGGTGCTTTCTACTTATTGCAATCATGTGCCATATGTGTTTCCCCCGGATCCTTCCGTCCTCTTTTCGCACCGGCCGATTACTCGAATAAACTATTGGCTTCTTCTTTTCTTTATCTCACGCTCGTAAAACTTTAGCGTGGGTTAACAGTTGCGTAAGTCAATATATTTCACAGACATACGATGATAGCTATCGTGATGCAACCACAAAACCGGGTCCTTTCAGGTTGAATTTCGACGCTACTCGATCTCAGTTGTAATTCGATGTGTCGTTCACTTTGAATAATTTAGGCCGAATCGAAAGTAACAGGTACGCATTAGTTATTTTGGCACAGTCTGAATATGCACGATTTATTTGAGCGACTGATACAATCAAATAAAATTTTGTAATTATATTGGATGTATCTAATTGATGCATTAATAATAAATCAAATTTAATGAAAAAGAAAGATAATTATTTTTACACCCGCGCATATATATTTTTTCTATCCGAAAATTAAATTGCTGCATAATTGCTCAACAGTGCAGATGTTATCTCTCTTTACAGAATAGTATATATGTATATATAAATATATATTTTTTAAATATTTGTTTCGGTGACAACACACTGTAGTCTTTGGCTAAATTATGAAACTGTCAAAAATTTTTTGTCACAAATCTGTCACTGTCACTCTGTCACCATTTATTCACTCTTCTTTCTTCGTTATTTTTAAAAGGCGTTTGGATTATCTTGCAGAAAAGAGCCTACTTGATTTCCGAGATTCTTTTGAAATTCTCTCACAGATATATCTGATTGCTAAAAGATTAAAAAATTAATTACAATTATGTTAAAATTGTCGATCAAAATAATTCGATAAATACATCTAAAATTGCAATAATAAAAAATAGATATAATAAAAACTCACATTTAGAGCATCCTGCCATTCAATATTAAAGAGTCTCACCAAACCGCGCAAATTTCTGCTTAACAAATTTGCCAATCCAGATTGCGTGAATCTAAAAGGCGCTTGAGTTGTCGTGGTTGTCGGGCTCATTGTTACATTAACAGTCGTCAAATTACTGGACAGATCATTTTGATCATTTAACGACGTAGCGACCGTTGTCGAAGACATATTGTTTACTTGCAATGAATTACTACTACTGACCCTTGGCGGTTGCGTGGTTGTATCTGGTACAATATTTTCGCTGATAATATTGCTTATTTGTTTAATCGCCGAACGCGTATCGTTGAACGTCTGAAATAAATAAATGGAACATTAGTCAAACATAGCGAAATCTCCACACACTTTCTTCATTTAATTAATTCCATAAAAAAAAATTGTTTTTATTATTTGTATTGAGAAATTATATCCAGCAATAAGAGAGTCGAAAAATAAGAAGTAAAGAAAAATAATTGCCCTCAATGTTTGACATTTTCTATATTTTATATTATATTTTATATTATATTTTATATTATTATGCTATATTTTATATTATATTTTATACTACATTTTATACTATAATTTTTCTACTATATATATCTTTATACGATTTTTTTAACAATTGCACCCTCAATATTGTAATTTTATTTTTATGATAGTGAAAGTGTTCTGCGGGAACAGATATTATCAATTCTCATTTTCAAACCTTTTTTATACTTATTATATTTTAAGCTCTTTACCATTATATTATATATGCGGCAAATATTGATTTTGTTATATAATATTCTTATTCATACCTCGAAAGCGACTCTTGCTAAAGTATAAAAGAATCCCGGCCGCTGCCTGCGAACTTGTCTAGCGACCCTTTTGGTTTCTTCGGAGATGCTCGTCTCCGCGAAGATGCTGTCTTCGATCGAGTTCATTGACTCGACGTCATTCTCGTCTTCGGATAACAGTTTCTCCAATATACTCATCTTCAGCATCATCTCTTCGTCCCTTATTCGAGTCTCTTGATAAGATTGTTCCAACTAAAAAAAGGCTTTTCTTTAAAAAAAGCTTCCTGGCATTCAATGTGCTGAGTTTCTAAACAATGATATTTTATATTTGTTTTCTTACCGGATATTTTGACATAGAGTTTGCTACATTTTCTTTCACATAAGCTTCAGGATACAGGTCTTTTGAAGGCACCTCAGATTGCACTGAATTAGATTGATAATTACGATGATAAATGTATTGCGGAAGTTTTGAAATCTTAGACTGAAGTTGTTCTTCAAAAAAAATTGGATCGGAGTGTATAGTATTATTGACTTCATAAGGAATCCAATCTGACTTCTCTATGATGACTTCGCTATAAAGCGGCTTAATTAAGCAGAGAAACAGCCAACTGGCTGTAAAGGCACCGATTGATGATGTATACATCTGTAAGAAAAATATTCATAAGATTAAAGTTACGCCAGATTAATTATATATTATAAAAGAAATCAGATTAATTAATTATTTAGAATAGGAATAAAGATGTATGAATGTGTATAATCAGGAAGAAAGTGGAAGTCTATAGTATCAAAATATTTTCAACAAAAACATTTATAGTGAGTATAGAGTAAAATAAACTGTTGTAACTTTAACACATAACAAGCAATATATTACATATATTATGTAAATAATGTCATAACAGAAGTGAGATGATTGCGTTGTTATAAAATTGCAGCTCACGGGACCGAAGAAAACATCGCGCAGTGAGAGTCGGACGATGACTGTGATGCACGGAAAAGAATCAGCTGTTATTATATAAGGCTGACAGTATTCATTTAGTAAAATAAAGAAAGTTTGCCGAAATAAGGCGAAAGTACGAAGGAAGATTGTCAACTGTAATTTCATAGACAAGATTCTTGTAATTGTGTTACGGTCTATTATTTATAAATCAGTTACGTACAATCAATTATATAATTTGCATAGTACTTTCGTAGCATAATTATACGCTAATACAATTTATTGTTAGTATAAAAAAATTATCACAATTTTTAATTGTGTAAATAGGGAGATGTCATTATAAATATGTATTGTAATACAATCTGATTTTAATTTATTAAATTTATTAAATTTAGTTTATATAAAATATAATATAATTTAATTTAAATAGAATATACTTTAATAAATTTAATAAAGCAGATAAATAAAATATAATAAATAAAAGTTATTAAATAGAATATAATTTAATACAATTTAAATAGAATAAATTTACTTTATTAATTCCGTAGGGGAGCCTACGTAAATATGGACTTACTTTGATGACACAGACTTTTAAATCCAGACACACATGTCAAAACGTTTCTTCTCTTCAAGCGCGTGCACAATGCTCGAAAAATTATTTGACATTCTCAATTTTTTAGCACACACAATCTAATATTTTCGCAGATTATACATGAAATCTCGCACAAGTAGTCTTAACTCTTGAGAAGCCTTTTCCGCTGTGAGGTTTATGCGTCACTCGCTCAGTTTGTCGCGATAAAACTGTCGTTTCTATCGTCCGTTCACGCACGATCGTTCGGAAAATTGCCTCCCTTCGACCTAATACAGCATTCCCATTATAAAACTGTTTCTGGTCGATGACTTCCGCTGCCGACCAAGCATAACTGGCGCGATTGACGACGGCGATTTGTTTCCAACGAGGATTGTTCGGAGATTTCGACGATCCATTTCGGCCACCTCGCTGTACGTGACGGGAACGTATAACACGTGCACGTGAATTAACGGTCGACCTTATTGAGCATCTTGCGAAATAATGGGGCCAGCCTGAGTGTCCGGTATGTTGCAACAAAATGTCAAAAATTCGGCCCTTGCAGCGGCCTTCTGTCGTTTTGCAAATGATAGATACTTCGGCAGTTGCTAAACATATATGTAAAATATTCGAGCACTATAGCTAGCTATATATATAAGTTTGCCATTCGAATATTGCAATTCAGTTATGTATTAAGAAATACTGGCACAAATTATATTTCGAGTCTTGCAACTATGTTTATGACATTTTATGTCGATCGCTGACAGTATGATTACATTAAATAACATCAATCAAGAGTGTCACGTTAGCTAGTTGTGTCATGGCACCTTTGAAATAATTGCGGTGTCAAACCACACACGTCAGAAGAACCTAAATATGTAATGCGGGTTTAAACGAGACTTTCTACTTCTGCGAAATAAATCACACAAAGATCTTTATCGATTGCGAAAATGCAGACGCACGTGGAATGATTTAAATTTAAATAGAGCACGTGGACTTCAGCGATCGGCATAATAAAGTTGTACCTATTTTTTAATACAAGTTCCACACTTTCCCTTTACATTATATATTATTAATATACTTGCAATTTTAACTTTGTTTTTTCTAATTAATTTATGATCTTTACAAAATGTTAAGAAATGCCATTAACTTTTTAATTTTTAATATTACATATTCTGTATAATAAAGCTCTGTATATAACAAAATAAAAAATTTAGATTAAAATAAACTTACATAAAATTAATACTTTGTCATCCATTTATCTTTCTTAAACTTTTTTGAAAATTCGCGAGAAATCGAATTATTTTTTTAAAATTGCGATAAGTGTAATTTAATTGCTTCGCGTCATTGTCTTGCAATAAAATTTATTTTGCAGAATTTGAAATTAAAATTAAAATCGCGAACACACCGAATACACTAATGCAACTTTGTTGAATCGTCTTTTCTTTGGCACATATGTAAAGCACAACATCAATGAGTTTGTTGCATTCTCTTTCAGTCCAAATGCACATTAGTAGATCACTATAAATTATCGATATGTAATGATTGGATTCGCGCCGTCTTGCCCGGAGATCGACAACCGCAGTACTTAACTTTATGTCCTCGGAAACCTGCTCGGGGCTCAGATCCACGTGGACTATACATAACAACTCTTCCATCTTTCACTTTCACTCTTCGTAATCACACACGTAATCGAGATCACTTACTCCGTTATGGCCATCGGTATGTATTCGATTACAATTGTATAAATCATACACGGCGATTGTATAAATCATAAATGATACCGCTAACTTCTTGCCCGCTCTTTCAATTTTTCAGCTATAATTCTGAATAATTGGGAGACAAAGAAATAGATATTTTTATCGAGCGAGATTTTTCTCTAAAAATCCAAGAATTGTTCCATGAAATAGAATAATGATAAAATGGTGGTTTATGCGCCGTATAATTACATTTTTACAGTTATTATTCGAGCCAGTTTTTCGTTGATGCATGACACGCTCCGATTACCGGGTGCTAATTATCTCACTGTGAAAGGTATGCGTAAATACGAAATTCACGTGTTCGTTTATATTGAACATATATGCTCTATGTGCATCGATCTGCGAAAAGTTTCTCCGTTATAAAAACCGTTACCAAAATTTTTGCACGCAAATTTGCAATAATAATAATAATGATGCACTATTACATTAAACATTTTTATAATATATACAATGGAATAATAATAGCAAATTATATTTAATATATTGTAGCGATTTGAACGCAGAAATAATAATATCTATAGTGAATATTTGACATGAGTCGAATCTTAGGTTTGACGAAATGTAAGGTGGGGTTTTACGTGGTTATGTATATATATGTAACATACATCTTTTATACACTTGCCTTACATAATAAGCCTGTCCTCGTACGTCAATACTTACCTAATGTCTATATATATATATATATATATATATATATCAGTATTTGTCTATTATTACGATACATTCTCTACTTACCTATTGACATTATTTTATGTAATTTTGATCTACTTGTAAAGTAAGACAAGACAAGGCTTGATTTTAGAAACATATTTCTACTTCTTACTAAATGCTTTAAAAAATTGTTTGCAAGAAAGATTTCTTTGAAAATAATTTATATGCTATATATTAAATATTATTTTTAAAGTAATTTAAATTTAAATAAAATAGTAAACTACTAGTTGGGAAAAGAAAATAATAAATTTGCGAAAATTATCGCAATTAATTTTGTAATCAATAATTATATATATGTATAGACAAGATGTGCAAGATTTTGTTATTTTGAAAAATTGTATTTATAAATCATAATTATGAAACTGTGTTTATGCGTTAAAGATCATATATGAAGATTCGGCCTTGACCGAATACATGAATCAGAACTGAGTATTACATTAGTGAGAGTAGACAGTGGAACAGTAATTAAAAATTTTTTACACAATATGAGATTTATGACAAAGAGTTACATAGAAATATAAAAAGGTTTGAAACTAACATTCTTAAAAATAACATTAATATAGGAAAATACTTTATATATTTTTCCAGAATAATTATCAGAATGATAGTTATAAAGACTGGTTAAATTAGAAACCAGTTTCAGAATAGATAATTTTTTTTAATAACATTGACTTTAATAAAAAGCTTGAACTTTTAGGGGTAGTATTTCAATAACAGTTTAAACTTAGATCGAATGTTTAAACTACTTTTTTGACACGTAATCCTTATCTTACTTACGTTTGTTGCAGAAATCTGCAATTTATTATAAAGACTACAAAAAAATAAAACATTATATAAGATTAGTGCTATTATGTTATATTATACTATTACAGTGATTACTTCTTTTGTACATGTGATGTGATGCTGAACAATTGTTATAAAGAGTCTAGTATTTGAGCAAATTATTAGACGATTTCCTCTTTTCTTCGTCGAATTCATCAGAGTTTTGTTAAGAAGTGATTAAATTTTAAAACGTTTTTAAGTACAAAGTTATGTAATTTTAAGTAAACTTCATAAAAACAAATTTCTCAATATGAATTATTCCGCGTTTAAATAAGTTAGAAAATTAATAATAATAATAATATATTGTAACGTGCAATTTGTTCAATACGCACAAACATTGTATATATATATATATATATATATATATATATATATATATATATATATATATATATATATATATTGTGTAATATAGTTATATTAAAAATTAATTGTATCTTATTTTTCAATTTAAGCTTATTCCACGAGAATACAAAGTAATATTAATATTTAATTTAATTATATTTATAACTTAATATTTAATATTTCTAATTTAATTCCTAAATAAGAATATCGAATATATAATTAAAAAGTAATTATCTTACCTTTAAGTTTTTCTTATATTATTCCTATTAAATAAAAATAATGTCTAACAGTAGATTGATAGTTCACTATTATGTTTTAATGCACATCTATTGCACTATTACGCTTTACACTAAAATGTGTTTGTAAGTTCACAGGTTGCACAATTTCTCATGAATCTATGACGATGACTAATAAAATTGTAAAAACAAGTGCATCTTGCTGGACGGCAGAACTCGCACTAACAAGATGAGTTTTCTCCACCTCTCGATACCTCGAGAATCGGCCTCGAAGGTCGTCAACATTTTTACGACATATCTTACGTATTCTGGTATAAGTAAACGGGACAAATCAACGAAATTTCTCGACAAAATTTTTATGCAATTCTGCACAAAAATTTTAACGCTACGCATAATACGCTTTTTCAATCATTTATTCCTATTTATGCTTTCGATATTTATTATTTCGACAATTAGCAAATCGCTGGAATTTTCTTAAGTAATAGCAATCAAAAACAATATTCGTGAAAAAATATCTGAGTAATTACACTGAACTTTCTTTAATACAAATGCAAGTTGGTTTATAGCATAAAGTTAATGTTAAATAATATCACTTTTTTATTTTCTTTAATTTCATGTTTTAATTATGTAATACGAGAGGTAAATAATAAAAACATGTAACAGATAAAAATTATGCAGGTATTCGCATTATGCGTAAGAGAAATGCTTAATCTTTATGATGATTTTTTGATTTCTCTTGTTTAAGAATGCCGTATAAAGCAAAGGTCATAAGAAATAAACTATAAAAGACTAAAATTAATTAAATTAAATATGTTATAGTAAAAATAATTTTCGTGTAGCACATTTCGAAAATAAATTTTTGTATGGTATGTTAATGTCCCTTTTATGCACATCTATTAATAATCTATTATTCAAATTGCGCGGATTATATAAATGCATCATCGCCGCCGTCACTTGTTTGTGTAAGTTTTTTTCATTTTTTTCACCTACATTCTTTCTAGCATGAGTTATACCTTCTGTTGCAATTCTTCTTCGAACTTTGCACGTCGCTGTTCATTCTACATGACCCTCATTGACTTATTCGTCAAAAGGAAAATCGTGCAAGAGGTCGTTGATCTAAGAGTCATGCAAAATGATGACTTGTTCCAGTCACTTTTGTTCCGGTATGCTCCGGAATAAGTATAAAAAATGATAGATAAATAAAAATGCTTAAAATGCTCAAGACAAAATAAACCATCAAACACGTGCTTTCTTCCGACATATGATACAAATTAATGGTGCGCAGCTAATAATTAATTTTGCAGTACAATAAGAAGGTATTATCGAGAAAGTATATAAATGTTGTTGGATTAAAAAACAAAGATATTTCTATTTAATATTTTATTTTTAAGAGAAAATAATTTTTATTGCACTTGAAAAGCTGGAACGCGCGAGGAGCTCAATTTCCGCAGTTTGTTACAGTTTGTCTGCTAAGAACGTCCTCGTTACACGAACAGCAAAACGTTACAAGATCTCGATGTCATCTGGTGAGACACTCTGACCGTTCGATCTTGTACAAAAATCGTACATTTATATATGTGTAATAAATTATCGAATAGTCTGTCATGCGACCAAACGCATATTATCGACGTAGAACTTCTTATTGCGATTTACTTATTGCCTAATAAACCGGTTTTGATAAATATAAGGTTTCCATTTTGCCACACAAATAGGTATGTTAAGTAATATGTTGTCAAATAAAATAAAAAGTCTACGCAATTATATTTTCATTTATGCGACTCAATAGATTATGGCAATATGTGTTTTATAAAGTGATGACATATGTATATCAGGGAAATTCTCGAAAAATTCTTTACAACCATAATTATATAGAATTAATTTTATGGGATGTAAACTAGTTTGATTCTCGCTCTTTTTCCTACTTCCTTAGTTTATCGTTTGAATTTTATTATTACATGTTGTTTTATTAAAATCTTATATTGATACTTAACATATACATAAATATTCTATTTCGTCTATATGTTCTTAATCATTAAAAACTTGTCTGTCACTTATGGCGCCAATTTTCGAGTCATACAGAAAAAAAATTTAATTTATTATTCGAATAGATGACGATCATGGAAGAATAATAGATAAAAATGAGACAAAAATATGGCGTCATAAATAATAGTAATAAATTGTGTAACACGTGACAGCGAAAAAATATCCTGCCAAGCAAACACGATATTTTAAGTCGTATATCTAACAAAATGGGATTTAAAATCTATCAAGATTTTGAAACCAACTCGACAGATTCTCATCAACAGTACTATTTAGGAAATATGTGGAACTTGCTGAATGTTTCTTGACGAAACAATCATTATTGAGCAATTTAATCGCAATAGTACAGTAATTCCTAGGGAAATGAGATGTCTCAGTGCTGATCTGATGGTAAACCCTTTATAGCGAAAGAACCACGGAATAATGGCTTAAAAACCTCTAGGACCGACTGTGTTCGGCGAGCCGAATTCTGAAATGTGGATAATTCAACTGTTAATGACAAGAGAGATTAATCAATAATTCGTATACGCGAAAGTTAATAATTTCCCGCTTCTGTCGAAAGAGCGGATCTAGATCTCGTTCTTTTTTCGTATATTCTGAGTAAAGGGTAACTCGAATAGGGGGGTTAATCGTTTGGGCGCGATTAAATTAAAAAAAAACACAATCATAAAAAAAAGTACGATTAGATTCCTGTGTAAATGGAAATCATTAGCGTACCTTTTACTAGGTGTCACTTTAAATAACATATGCGCGATACTTACTAAGATTAAGCTGTTGAGAATTTTGCTAATATTGGTTACTAGAGTGAAACCAGCTCCAAATGCTCTTGATGGTATATCCAAGGACACCCTGGTTCTGTCGAAAACGGGTGTATCATCCGTGGTAGTAGGCACCCTCTGCACACAAATGCACGATATGAAATGAGGTTTATTCAATTTTCTTTCGTCACACTTCTTGATCACATATTTCATCATCATTTGAAAGCAGTATAAAAAGTATCACGTGGGAAAATTATATAAAACTTAAAGTGCTTATGTAAAAAAATGTATGGGTATCCGTAATTTTTCTCATTTGTAATGATTCAGTGAACATGAAGGAAAAGAGGAACGATTCTTTGAGACAAGAATCATTACTTTTACAATTCTATATTTACTACTCATAATTTTATTTCGCTCAGATATATTTTATTTGCATTTATTTAAATACAAATGCGCAAAATAAAAATTGTGTATGATTAAATATAGAGTTTATATATTTATTTGAAAAATTTGTGCTCTTATATACAGAAATATATTTGTATAAAATATTTGTATGAATAATACTTTAAAGAGATAGAAAATAAAGCAATGAAAAAACTACATTTTTAATTGTAATTGTAAACTTATCAATGTATTTTAAAACTATAATAAATAAAAATATTAAACATTTATATGAATAAATTCTAAGGATGAAAGATATAACAAGGATATGGGAAAGAGGATATATTGGACTTTCGTGATACTCTGCAATAAATTTATCACAAATAATAGACAAAAATATAATTATATGTTTATTTTGACATTATCATCACCATCGTCCTCGTCATCGTCAACATCCTCAATATCGATTATTAGGTTTACGTGTTATAGAGCATTTTTGAATGCGCTATTTACATCATTTACACATTTCACTAGTTCGTCTCGCTTAGAGGCTACTGTTAAATTATTTACAACTTTTACGATGGCAAGTCGATTCATGCTAGCTCTTCTGTAATGTTAGGATACAGCGCAGCCCATGATTCAACCAGAAGCGTCGATTCGTTCAAGAGAGAGCATTTCCTTTTTTTTCTGTAGAATTTTTTTCTTTCTTTCCCTTTTATATGTTTTGTTCGAACGCTCTTAATATAGGCTTTTTACAGGAGCAAGAACTTCTAGAGCGAGAGAGAGAGGAAGAGAGATCCTGCCAATTATCAGCCCAACTAGAAACAAAAATTCCACACACTCCATATTAAATGGAACGCTTATATTCATCCATGCGAAAAATACGTTTTACTGTCCGTCCCCTTCTCCATTTTGATGTGCATTTTAACGTCCTGTTTACTGTTTGTTCGTCACTCTGTGTTTTCCCCCAAGGATATGTCTTCTCTCAAGCGTTCCCTGCTGCTCCGCCGGTCCAGGCGTACAAAAAGTCCGCAGTCCAAAATTCCCATCGGCCCGCTTTTATCCCACTTGCCTTTAAGCCGCTTGCGGAGGCGTGTAATCGTACTGTTTATGCACAATACTTCATTTTAATCGCAGACATAATTTGCGGTTATCGGAAGATCTCGTCTCGTAAAGATGTCTTCCAAAATTATAAGGAAGTTTTACTTTAATCAGCAACGTTAATTAGTCACACAGTCGGAAATTTAATAAAGCGTGTCAGTATATCACCGATGAACCAGATTCTTTTCTTTCAGTTGTTATTATATAGCAGTAATAGTAACAGAATTTTTTATCAGGGTGCAGAGAGAAAAAGAAAAAGTAGGGATCAACGTAGAGATCAAAAGTTTGAATTATATTGTTATTAGAGAAGTTAAGATTGGGATTATAGCAGTTTTGTTAACATACAGTAGTTATTTTAATGAAAAATAAAAAAAAATGAAGAATATTAAAAATATAATTACGCATGCAAACTGAGAAATACGAATAAATAATAAATAGAAAATTATATACAAAAATTATTTGCACTTTCACACAACATGCACTTCTGTATTTTCACTCGTAGCGCGGAAGTTAATGTTGTCACTTGCAAAAAACAGTTACCCATCGTCCAAAGTTTGTTTATTGAGATTCGTCAAAAAAGAGACTGTTATATTTCGTTTATTAAAAAAAGTAGCGAACTACTTTCTCTTACGAGAAGGCATTTCAGAGTCTCTCTCCGGCCAGAGACAGCTTGCATTACATGTCAGACACAGAGCAGGCGACATGTGTGAAACTTAAAGAGTAGAAGAAAAAAGTCATAATTTAGAGAAGAATAAAGTGAACTCAGAGCGATCGTACCCCGGCCAAATTGGCGAAGGCTCCGATTCCAGCTCCGGCTTGAGCTCCGACTCCAGCACCGGAACTCGTATCGCTTAAGCCGGAAGCGGGCTTAGTTCCTCCTGCTGCTGCTCCTCCTCCTCCTCCGCTGAGACCACCGCTTAAACTGCCTAAACCGCCTAAACCGCCAAAACTGCCACTAGTTTGGCTCGCACTCGACAAAAGACCGATTCCTTGAGTCAGGAGAGTGCCGAGAAGAGCAGATCCGCCGGGAGCCGATCCGCCACCTCCTACATTTTTTTTTTTATAAGCGGAAGTATTTTAGATTTTATTACGGTACAAAAAAAATTCTTATTTAATTATTTATGGAAGAGAACGTTCTCCATATTTTTACGTACCTCTATCAGCATCGGGGTAAATTAATAAGAGAACTTCTTAAATCTTATTGTGTACATACCTGCACTTCCACCTCCACCGGAAAGACCACCGGAAAGTGAGCTTAGGGGCGCGATTTTCGAGACAAGTGCGTTCGTTATACCAGACGAAGCTCCTGAGAAGAACGTCGACGCGCTGTTTATAATAGGTCCTAAGCTGCTTGATGCGGCCTGAATCTTCTTGGACGCCAAATCACTCAGGAATTCCGATGTGTACGATTTGCTAGCGTCTATTCCGTAAATCGCATTTTTCGCTTTGTTCACTTCCTCGAGAGCCTCGAGCGCTTTTGTCTTTGAGTCCAATAAGGCGTCCACTTTCTGGAGAAGTATGCATTTATCAAAGAAGAGAACAAAATTGGTACTAAATCTCTATATAACATTTCTGCGTTACATTCAACGTCTCTCGATGCATATGTTTCCAATTGTAACGAAATCTTATTTCAGATTCGCGGCTTTAATTATTCATACAATTATAAAAAAAATATTAATTTATAAAAATTGATATGTAATATTAGTTACTTTTATGAGATTTGTTACGTGTAAGAGCAGAGATTTATTATTAAAAATTTGCTAATTATTAATTCCATTCTTACGCCGAACACGAAGTTGAGGATGCCATTCTTTATTCCAAGCGTGAGCCCAATCTTTCTCTTATCCCTATCACCCCTTTCGTCATCAGCTTCCTCGGCTTCGATTACGATTACCTGCATAAAATTAAGTTTCTTTAAGTTTTTCTTTAAATAATAGAAATATTCTAACAATAAGATATATGGGAAGTAAAATATTCTCTCATAATTAATAATAAGCGGAAAGAAAAAGTCGAAGATGAGATGAAGTATTGCAGGAAAGAGTTTTCTCCACGATGATTTTTTGTCGATTCACTCTGACTTTTATTTATCAATCAAGTATTTCGCGTTTAGTTACATGAACACTGTCGAAATCACCTTTTCTTTAAATATTTGCATTCATATTTTTATACAAGTTTTTAGATTTCTAAAGATTTCCAAATTATACTGAAACTATATAAAATTATATAAAATTAAAAAAACATTATTATACAATTAGAATTAGATCTCGCGTTCGCGCGCGATATTTTTAAATCCTATAATTTCGTACACGATTGTGATCATTATGCAACGCTGCTTTCATTTTAGGTGAGCGAGATTGGCACGTAAAACTACGTTGTTTTAGCGGGATCGCATTCCGATTACATTAATGCTTGCTCATCAGCTGTGACAACGATACTTCGTTCCTCGTTATGGACGATACGCGCCACGTGCGTGCTACGGAAATTTCGTTATTTCGCATCCATCTCCTACATGTTAAGTTCGTAAAAGCAGCGCCAACCACTTTCACTCTTGACTCGTTCTCGAGATAATGTGTCTCTCTCGGTCTTAGTCTTTTTCATATACATCTGTCTTTTCCATTTTTTTCTCTCATTAAGTGTGGCACATTTAATTAACAAGATATGTTTTTCTTCCGATATAATTCAATATATTACAATGACAAGTAAATTTAATTTTAGAAAGGCGGAATTTTTTACAATAAAGAAAAAAACATTGATTTTAAAAAAATTTTGTATAATATTATAATTATAATTATAATTATAATTTATTTTCGTCTCTTTTCTTGAATAAAAAAAGGCGGAGACACAGAATAAAAAAAATATATAAGGTTTTCCTTATTTAATATTTCCCTTAATTAAATCTACAAGATAAATATTTATTGTATATATAATTTTTGTGTGTACTCTAAAAATGATCTATTCTATCAATTGCATTCGATGAAACAGTTCACGCGAATTATCGAGTTGGCAAATTTTGCGATATTTACTTTCACTTTGGTCGCTTTATATTTGTCTTTTTATTCTCTAGCGATATGTTTGGCTGTCCGTGTTTTAGGTCGAGTGAAGGTATCTCGCATTCATTCGGCACGTTGCTTAAAAAGGGGGAAAGAAAGGGAAAGGATTTTAAGCGACAACTTTAAACATTGCCATTTGTCAAATTCTTGTCAATCATATTTCGAAGAAGCGACTTCTCCGTGTCGGAGATTCAATTGCGCTTTCATTTCGTGTTTCAATTTCCTGAGAGTCTACGAGGACACGCGACATAATAATTATAAATTCTCAACGCGAGAGATCGATTAATAGTTTTTATGTATACACACACACGTACTTTCAGCATTTAAATTGCATTATTAAAGTACAATGTGCAACTGCATAGTTAATCTTTGACTTTTATTCTTTTACTTTCTAAGACGATTCAAGATAACTCCTATCTTCTCATAAATCTTTCAATACACGACGAGAAATAGCTTTATATATAACATACTTGAATATGCAAAGTGGTACAAGTTGCTTTCAAGCACTTTAAAAAGGAGAAACAAAATGCAAGACTACTTACTTCGTTCAATGGACTGAGATCTTCCTCGGATGGTTTTTCCGCATCTCTCTTGACAATAGGACTGCAATTGACAATGGCAATGGCCAAGAACAGTCCGCAAAATGTGCAGACTACCCGCATTTTGTCTTTCTCACTTGGTCGATTTTCAGTTATTTATTCTGTGTAAATAAGAAGATGTTTCACAAGGCGGTATGTATATAAAATTCCTGGCAATAAAATTGAAAGTTCATTTTAAATGTCGAGTGAAAGGAGGTGCTTCAAATATACTAGGTACATATAAGTTTGACAACTAATCTTAAAAATTGACTTTTAACCAAACTGATCCAATTTTATATTCAATAAATATAAAAAAATTATATACAAATAAATATTACTGTATAAAGTTGATATATGCAAATCAAGTATTATATTTTTGAGAGATTGGTATTTTCTTCAAAAGTTTCCCATAACGTAATGTTGTAAAAAGAACATTATTTCCAGTCTAATTTGGCTCTTATAATAGTTAGAAACAAAAACCGCAGAAAATAAGAGACAAATAAATGACTAAGAATAAATTCAGGAGTTATACAGGCATTAGTAATAAGCAGCTGTCAAAATCAGCTGATTGTCAAATTACAGGCGTAAAATAGTTGATTGAGTAATGGATCGCAAATTGTAAAAACAAATAAGCAATTAATTGGTAAAATCGTGCACAAATATAACGGAGAATTACATGTCAAGAATATATGAAAATATGAGAAAGATAATTAACAAATAAAATTAATTTATTTGATTCACAGCAACTGTCAATTCGTGCGGAATTAAACAGTTTTTAACGCGTAATAAAAATGAAAAAAACAATAAACGAAATCTTAACAAGCGTGTCACGTGGCCGATCAAAATGAATGAATTGCGGGGACTTACGAGTGCCGGTGCGTATACTTACAAGTATACGTGCGTGCGTGCGTGCGTGCGTGCGTGCGAACGAGCGAGCGAGCGAGCGAATGCGTGAGGAGTTGTGTACCTGGCGGAGCGCGAGGCTCGTTTGAGGACCACAGTGAAGGAGGTCCCGATGTCTTACGGAGTCGAAGGGGAACGAAGGCGAGCATGTGTGCCCCTTCGGAATCGAGAGAATCGCGAGCCTCGCCTCCTGCAGGCAGGTGGGGCGCCCTCCAACTCGCTTGTTAGCGAAACCCGTTCAGCCAGAAGGCCTTATCCAGATCGCTCGTCGCAATCGGACATCCTCCCTTTATTTCTCTTAACACCCCTCGGATTGGCACATCGTCAATTATCTAAGCACGCTCATAAAGTCACAATGCATAAAGCTCTCAAACGTTATTTCGCCACTTTCTTATCTATCTCAACGAAAATATCTGCGATGATTAAAAAAAAAACGCGATTTATTTTTACGAAATTGTAATCTAAATCGGGCGCTTAGACAATTAATTTTTTTTAGAAAATGCTCCGCTTTCTTTTGCACATATTTTTAAAATTATTGCATCGGTAGTATTTAGCAACCGATTTCAGCGTCATGCTTCGTGCGTAGGCAACAATTAAGTTTTGAGAAATCGGAAAAGTTCACTTATCTGTTTGTTATGCCTATGATATCATCTCTTTCCAAAGCAATAGAAAAAATAGATATAAAGCATTATTAAATGTAAATGTGGGAGCTACGTGACCTACTTCGGTATTGTTCAATAGTTATCATTTTTATCATCTTGCAAATAATATAACACTTTCGACAGAAACGACCAAATAATTAGACAATTTGAGTTGAATAACTTGAGAAAGAATTAATTAAAATCATCTTTCCAGCGTATTAAAATTTTCTTTCAATTGTATACACACAATATACGCCAGAGTTTTCATGTGTAGTATATGTATTAGAACTATTATTGCGTGATTTTAAAGCTTAGCAACTTCAAACTCTCGCTTTCTCAACTCTTTTCGGATTATCTCATACAAAATTGCAAATCGTCACACTAGCTTATGTAATGGATAGTTTCTCCGAAGTGGACCATTCATCTTCGTTATTTTATAGAAAAACGCCAGGCACGTGGCGGAACTATACGTAATAGTCTGCTTGAATGATAACATGTCACGATATTTGCATCACGTCATAATATTCGATAGCCTGCTAGCAGAATTTAGAAGAAATATTTATTTCGGCAAAACTGTGCGTATATCTTTCACATTAATTTATATTAATATTCTTTTTATTTTTACAACTGCTAATTCTCATGCTAATTATGCATACATATAAAACATAATTATTACGCTCATCCGAGATGATTTTAAAAGTTAAGACAACTCTTCTTACATCTTGAAAAAGCGCTTTAACCTCAGAACACTTTATCTTGTACTGACATGTAGTAATTTATTTAAGTTCGTCATTAAACACCTCGCGTTTCTTGCTTATCTTATCTTTTCAGTTATTCTCGCGAGGAAGAAAATATAAATGTATATAGATTCGCATGTATTGCATGTATACTGTAATTATTATAATTTGCAGTAACAATTTTCAGTTACTTGACATTTATTTCATACATAAAATATTTCTCGAAATATTCACATAGTATAATATGGAAAGAAAAAAATACTTTATTGTTTTCAGTATAATCTGAAGAATAAATGAGTGATCAGAATTCAGGATGTCAAAATTTTATATGCATGGATTTGTCTAAAAAAAGAATCAAGGACACTCAGTGAAAAGAATTTGAAAGCACATATTTTTCGAATGCATTCTGCAATGCTTTATTGCATCGTGATTGATTTAAAATGACTATAAACTATTCTACGCACGGGGTTCTAGTATCGATAGTCCGTTACTTTTTTTAAAGACAGTTGCTCAACGCAGAATCTATTCCTCGCCATTTAAGTTTGTCATTTCTATGCGCGACAGGATGATGAAATTAGGTTTTTTCAAATTACAAGGATTATAAGAATCTAGTTTTATTTGTAAAAAATTATAAGTGTTAAAATAATGATTTAGCTTCAAAAGTTAAAGAGAGAATCGTTACGAAAACTTAAATTATATACATAATAAACTTACATTCATATAAACTCCAATATTACACATACAATTAATATTCATCCAATAAATAAAAAAGATAGAGGATAAATAATAATAATTTATAATAATTTAATCAAACAATTTTTGTGTAACTGGTTATTGAAATTTAAATATAATAAAATAACATTCACAAGCAGACTCTGATATTACACGCAAAATTATTCATCCAATAAATAAAAAAGATAGAAGTTAAATAATAATAATAATTTATAATAATTCAATAAAATAATTGTCGAGCAACTGAGGGAGAAGTGTCTAAATAATTCGAAAATCCAATTGAACTCAACTATTTTGAGTATCGGCTCTCCGCGCGTCTAAATAAGTAGTAAAGCTATTCATTAGTCAGACTGGACGACCACACTCGTGATGTGGCGCCGCGCAACGATCACGCGCGTAGACGAGTACGGCATCTCAACCGCGAAGAAACGGTCAAGTGACTTTCCAATGAAAGAGAGAGTAACGCACTTCTGTAATCCTCCTACAGGAGGAAAATAAAAAGAGGTGCAAAATCCCGTGCGAACCCGGACCCGACGCGTCCGGGTTTACGTAACTCTGCACGGACGCGTTGACTCATTTTCCAAAAGTGGATCGAAATCGTACGAGTGAATGCATTTCCGAAAGTATACAACCGATTCAAGTACATTATGTAATTGTTTAATTTTTATTATGTAATTATATTCTTAAAAATTCTATATTTAATATTTTTCGTTGTAATGGAACTCTATAAAAATTGCAGAAAAAATAATTGTAAAAAATAGAAGAAAATGTGATACACGATATATTTAAAAATATATATACATACATAAAAGCTTCAAAACATAAAAACTTACCTTACCTAGATTCCAGATAAGATCCAACAAATGCGATTACGATAGAATTAAATACATATTAAGTAATAATTCCAATCGTGTCATATATAAATAAAATAAAAATATATGGCATGCAAATAACAATATGTACATATTTCAAAAGTAATGTCATATGGTAACTATGTTTATTTATGCAGCATGCATTTATTGACGTGTTTAACTTTATGATCTTCTGCATCTATCTGCGATAATGAAGAGTATACAGCAACAAAAAATTCTAAACGTTTTAAGAATATATATGATTCTATGAAAATGTTAAATACACGTGACATATGTTTGTGTCATTATTCCTTTCGATTATATATAACGATAAATACGCAATATTTCACGTGAGACTTAATGTTTTTTCGTCGACTCAACAATTTCCGACTCTTGATGGCTGCGCAGATTTCTAATTTTCACTCACCTTTTATTGAGCAATAACGATAATTTATATTTGTTTTCCCACTTGGAAACTCGCGAATCGCAAGTTTGAAAAATATAGATAGTAAGTGCATGCTAAAGACACAAAAACGCGTCCTTTAACACGGTTATAAGCGAAATTGCATTTAAATAATACCGTCAAAAATAACATTAATGGCATTATTATTATAAAAGCGTTAGAGAGAAATCTCCGACGAACTTCCACCAATTATTTCAATATTATCGCCGACCGATCAATTCATCTCGCGCTTTACATCTACTAATACCTTCTCTCTCTCTCTCTCTCCGTTCCGCAGAGCTGCCTCTTCCTCCGCCTCTCAGCCGGATAATCAGCTGGGTCTTCGACCTCAGAAAAAACCGCAAGGTACACTCGTCAGGTAACGAATTATCGCAACGGTTCACCGGTGTCAGGTGACGCGCACCATTCGAGGATGTTACTCGCGATCACTCGCGCAACCGCGACCTTTGCCGCGAACGTTCTCTCGACCATCGATTGCGAAGAGGGCCAAGGCGGCCGGTTCTCGCGCTCTCTCGTCGTGGGAGGAACTCCCGAAAGAGGAGTTTGTGCTCGCGGCGCGGCGGATAGATCGAGACTTTTACGCGCCGGAATAGAAGAAGGCGAGGAGGCGGTGGCCGGACGCCGCGCGTTCGCCGTGTTCGTGAAAGAAAGTCGGGGAAATTGGCTGCAAAGCAACACGTCACCATCGCTGCCGGCGCGAATGACCGATGACGATGACGAAGGCGGATGAAGAAATTTGCAGCAGCCGCATGGTCGCGGCGTCAACTCGCGTGACGCTCGCGAGTCTGACAGGTCTCGATACATGACGCGTTGACAGATCTAATTAGCACATATATTTACCGGAACTCGCCGCGAAATATATATTATCCGGGATTTTTCATGAATAATCCCGCGATTTATAAAGTAGCGATGACTCAATTTTTCGTCACAAAATTAATACCATATTATTATTATTTATATTTAATTTATTTCTTTAAATACTTAATAAAGTAAAAAGTCTACAGAAAATTATCTTAGATGATATAGGTATCTCTTTACATTTGTGCAATGCAATAGATATATATTAGGTAATATATAATATTTATGAGGTATCATGTTAGAAAAATATCGAATAAAAAGGTATAAAGTAAATATAAGTAAAAATATAAGGTGAAGATTATCTTAAAAAGAAATAAATCTTTACATTTGTGCAATGCAATATTTATACATTAATATGCAATATATAACATATGTATACACGTGTTAACATCATTTAAGTTACATATTATCTGTCATTTTAAAGTTGTTGCATTTATCTTCATTGGATCGTATTAAAACACTTTAGAAAAACACCTTTTATATTTTTACTTTTATTTTTCATTGCGGTGTAATAAATACTCAGGTATTCTCTGAAAGTATTCTTAGGTGTTTTGTAGCGTTTATTTTTCTTCGATCGATGTTACATAATGTAAAATGCATGACGCGTGTTTAAATCGTTCGCACATTTGTTCGCGAACGATGACGCTGTGTTGTTCAATCGCAGTCGTGTAACCCGAATAAATATATCGTTCTCTGTACTTTCTCCGACCCGAGCTCCGTCTATGAAACTTCCTCCACTGTTGCCTTAGCCAGCCGTATCGAGCACATGCACTAAGAAAATTTATTATAATGGGCACGCGACATGTCTGGTATCGTCTATGAGAGATCGAGAGTAAAAGTTGATCATGCTTTCATCTCGCGACGCGCATTTATCTTTATCCTCTTCCGTCAACTTTTATATCCCAGAACAAAAATTCGATTAATTATCCCCAGTCTTTAATACATTGACACACATATATATATATGTAATAATTAATATTAAGAATTAATATATAATGTATAATTAAATTATTAATTAAATTAAAATTAATCTTTAATTTATATATGCATATATTAATATGTATAATAATTATTTATTTATTAATTAGTATACATATATATATATAAA